ATATTCTTATCCATTACCTAATCTTTCTATAATATTCTCTCATTTCTTTTCTTTCTTTATTCTTATCCGATACCTATTCTTTCTATAACGTTCTCTTATGTCGTTTCTTTTTATATTTATCTCCTATCTTTTCTTTCTATAGTCTTCTCTCATGCCTTTCTTTCTGCATTCATCTCCTATCTTTTCTTTCTATATTCATCTCCTATCTATTCTTTCTATATTCACCTCCTATCTTTTCTTTCTAAATTCATCTCCTACCCTTTCTTTCTATAATTTTCTCTCATACCTATTCTTGTTGTATTCTTGCTTATTACCTTTTCTTTCTACATTCATCTCTTATCTTTTCTGTCTATAGTCTTCTCTCAAACCTATTCTTTCTCTATTCTTATCCATTGTCTTTTCTTTCTATAGTCTTCTCTTGTGCCCATTATTTCTGAATTTATCTCTTGATTTTTCTTTCTGCATTCATCTCTTCTGTTTTCTTTCTCTCGTCTTCTCTCATGCCTTTTCTTTCTGATAGCAGAGTTTGAGCCAATTTTTATGCATATCCACACGTACACACACACATAAAACACTATGTTGCAATATCGTGTCACATACGTAACAGAACAAGCAAAACAATGCCGATAGAACCTATAATGCGTGGTATGCAGAGTTCCGGAAGGATTGTATCGGAGGGCTTAGGCAAAGGCAAGGCCGAAGCGCTTCACAGTCCCCTCCTTCCTTTCTCTGAACAACCAGCTCCAATCAAGCCCGAACCACAGATGGCCCAGAGTCCAGGAGGCATAACGGGCAAAAGACTCTGCCCAATCCAGCTTGAGCCGGTGATAATGAAGGGCCTTAGTAGTTAGAATAGGGTCTTGGGGTTTCTGTATGATAATGCCAGTATTGTATACCTCCAAACCCTATTCTAATCACTAAGGCCCCTATAACAACTGCGATAGCAAGGGGAAAAGCTGGCTCTGACCTATGGCCTGAGTCCAAGCAGGGTTCGGAAGGCCCCGCACCCCCAGAAACCCTGCTTGCAACACAACAACCGGAGCTGCTCTGAACGTGAGCTGCAGGTGCCGCTTAGCGGCCGGCAGAAGTTCAGAAAAATTCATTAACCTTGTCCATGTCCTCTTCATCTGCTGGTGTCAGGAGAACTCGAGTTCCAAATATGGCTCGTCAGACATATGCCCTAAACAGAACCCTACATCCAACCTATGTTACCTGTCGACTCCAGCATTGACAAACCAAGAAGGCTCCCATCCACACCCTTCGATGCAAACACTCCAGACGCTGACAAAGCAAACGGGAAGCCTAGGGGCCACGTGCGGGAGTGTTGCTCGGCTTCCTTGTCTGAACTTAACGCTATAAATTCAACCTGAACCCCAAAACCACAGGACACCACGGCATGAGTAAACCTTCAACGGCCGTGAACGCTAAACTCTAAAACCCCCAAACCCCAAATTACGGAAGCCCTAAAGCCCCTAAGCCCTAAAACCATAAATTGAGAAGCCCTGATGAGAAGCAATGAGGTATTCCTCTGCGAGGTGTCATATATGGGCCCGAAGGGTTCAGTTTAGGGTTTAGGGGTTCCGAATTCAAGTTTAGAATAAGCTTTTGGGGTATTATGTCTTTTTTCCACAGTCGAGAAACCTCAAAAATGTTGGTGGCAACCATTCAACCGTCCCACCGGCCTGACCCTGTCTCGATCTTTGCATATAGTGCCCAGATTGATTGAAACTAGGTTCCCGAGTGTATTCTGGTGCAGTTCTAGATACATATGCGTTTATGTGTACATATATATATATGTATATATGTGTATACATAGATGAAGAAAGATGTGAGCTATATGTACATAAATATGTATAGATATACGTTGTGTGTATACATATATACACATCTACACAGAAACGTGCTCACGGGGACTTTCAGAAGATCCTAGTACTATGTTGACACCCAATGTCAGAGCTTCCTCATAGCATCCCAGAGCAGCAGTGTTCCAGAAAAGGACATGGACAGCCGCTTCGATATGGACCCCGTAACATCTTGGGGTTGAAGTATTGCGACTCGAGCGGCAACGGTCGAACCCTAATCCTAAGCCCTAAACCCCAAACCCACTGGGAGGTTCATGGGTAGGTAGAAGTGAGGTTTTAGGTCCCCTAATCTGCATTATAACTATAGTCATCCTACTTATAACCCAGCTTATATATATATATAATATGTAATATTAACCTTACTTATATATATATATATATATGTATGCATATATATATATATATATATATATCTGCCCATGAACCTCCAAGTAAACCTAAGACCTAAGCATCTTCAGAGAGAGCTGCCGCGAAAGACGGAGGACTACTCTGTGTCCTTGCCTCAGTTGCAAACAAGGGTTTAGGGTTCCTTTAAGGGTATGATAAGGATTCCTTTAAAACTTAGACTTTCAGGTCCGTGAACCCCAAAACCCTACTACAGGGGCCTTAATAATTAGAACAGGGTGTGGGGATATATTGCACTATAACGATAATAAGGAATCCCTAAGATCGTACAGGTAATTACTTATTCTTGGCTGACTTCTGAACCCCTCCAAAAAGTTAAACTTTTAGCCTCCTTATTATAGTTCATATAGAAACCCAAAAAGTTAAAGTCCTAAGAGCCAACCAGAAGAACGCCAAGTTTCCCTAGGCGCCTAAGCCGCAAAGCTCTAAGCCGTCCCTAAACCTTTGCTTTGTTTTGCTAGGATGCCCAGTAACCTAGGAATCAAAAGGGCTCCCTTTTGGGTATTGGGTACCTTCATAAGGAACCTAGGACTACAAAAAGGGAATAAGGGTACTACTGGGCATCCTAGTTTGTGGGGCGACTTTGAGCATGCATGGTATCCCCAAAAACCCTCAAGGCGCGCCAAACCGTCATCCTGACACAAGTCCTAAACCCTGAGCCAAAACTAAGACAGTACCCAAGTACTACACTTGGGACTTATATGGGTGGTTGTCAAAATTAGGATCCTTTTTGGGTACCCTAAATATTAGGTGCCGTAGTATATTCAGGAGCCAAAAAGGGACCATCATTTTGATAATCACCCATATGAGAAACGAAGTGCTTGAAAGGACTTAGCAGGCTTCAGGTTGGGAAAGCCATCAAAAAAAAAATTTTTTTCAATCAAAAAAAAACTTTCAGCGAAAATCAAAAAAAACTTTTTCACCAATCAAAAAAAACTTTTTTCCAATCAAAAAAAACTTTCTCCATGTGTAGTAGTAGTAGTAGTAGTAGTAGTAGCAGTAGCAGTAGTAGTAGTAGTAGCAGCAGTAGTAGTAGTAATAGTAATAGTAATAGTAATAGTAATAGTAATAGTAATAGTAATAGTAATAGTAATAGTAATAGTAATAGTAATAGTGGTAGTAATAGCAATAGTAGTAGCAGTAGCAGTAGCAGTAGTAGTAGTAGTAGTAGTAGTAGTAGTAGTAGTAGTAGTAGTAGTACTAGTAGTAGTAGTAGTAGTAGTAGTAGCAGTAGTAGTAATAGCAGTAGTAGTAGTAGTAGTAGCAGTAGTAGTAATAGTAGTAGTAGTAGTAGTAGGAGGAGGAGGAGTAGTAGTAGTAGTCGTCGTAGTAGTAGCCGTCGTAGTAGTAGTACTACGGTGGATGGACAAAATCCTGCATTACCCATAATAAGGAATATACCATTCCCATAGTGTAGGGTCCTTAGGGTAATGCAGGATTTTGTCTATCAGCCGTAGTAGTAGTAGCAGTAGTTGTTGTTGTTGTTGTTGTACCTTCCTTCCTGCCTTCCTTCCTGTCTGCCTGCCTGCCTTCCTTGCTGCCTTGCTTCCTTCCTTGCTTCCTGCCTTCATTCCTTCCCTTCTTCCTTCCTTCCTGCCTTCCCTCTGTCTGCCTGCCTGCCTGCCTTCCTTCCTTGCTGCCTTGCTTCCTTCCTTGCTTCCTGCCTTCCTTGCTTTCCTTCCTTCCTTCCTTCCTCGCCCTTTCTCCCCGCCTTCCTTGCTTCCTTCCTTCCTTCCTGCCTTCCCTCCTTCCTTCCTTCCTTCCTTCCTGTCGCGCCTCCTTCAATAAGGGAAAGTTTTTTTTGATTGGAAAAAAGTTTGTTTTTTGATTGACAAAAAGTTTTTTTTGATTGAAAAAAAGTTTTTTTTTGATTGGCATCCCCTTCAGGTTCATGTTAGAGACAGTTGAAGGCAGGGAGCAGAAACGGACCTTCATGGAACAAACTTGCAATGCCCGGATACAGGGTCCAATACTTAATATACCGTGCTTATTACATACAAAGAACCCGAAGGGACACGGATACTAAAGTTTCATGCTCTATCATTGCACTCCACATCCAACGAGCTGAAGAAACTGGCTGCTGCGAAGCTTCCAAGCTTGCTGACCTGCCGGAAACCCGTTCGGAGGTCCATACAATTGGGGCCAGAATAATTGGAATAGGGCCTTGGGGTATCATATTTGCACCACTAAGGGATCTACAATCTGAGGGCCTGAATAATTGGAGCAGGGGTTTGGGGTATATCATTCCGTCATACTATGTTCATATTCTTACCCCGAAGAATTCATGCAAGGAATTATTCAAGCACCTATATTACCTACAGAGGTCTTGCACGGATCTACCAACATATCTGAAACCCTAGTGATTTCTTGTTGGTGGGTCACTGGACAGCAGATTGACAGGAGCCATCCACCCTCTTGTGTTGCCTGGAGCCTGAACATGTGGGTGTCTGTCAAAATTCGGGTCCCTTTTTGGGTACTTATTTTAATACCGCACCTAAGAGGTAGGGTGCCCAAAAAGGGACCACAATTCTGACAACCACCCATGTGAAATAGCACGACGGACGGCGGCCTGCCCATAGAAGACCCTATGAAACAGATTAGAGGATATGAACTCGTCTACAAAGTAGGAAGCATCAAGACCTGCAAACACCTGCTAACCCCCTCTCCAAACCTCCCCAGCTCAATATGAACTGGCAGCATTGCAATTTTTTGAACCTGGTCTTTTGCCCTCCCTCTGCCCGGCAAGGATCTCAGTCTGGGGTGACTAACAGCACATGGCATTTTGCTAAAACTGTTGATGTGCTGCATAAGGATGTTTTTAAACGAGTCATTAGCCTCGTTTGTGCTCTGTATGTGTGTGAACCCTAAACCCTAAACCCTTTAACCCTAAACCCTAACCCACTCCTTTACAGGGTGTGACTATCGGCAGAATTCCACAAAAACCCTAAACCCTAAGCCCCAAAGCCCTAAACCCAGTATCGCGTACTTAGTCCGAAAAAGTTAACCTTTTCAACTAAGGTAGGCTTACTTTTCCCCTTCCAAAGGCTATAAAGGTTACCTACCAGGCTACTAAGTTGTGTCTTGACCCTAATCCCTAAAACCATAACCCAAAACCCAAAACCTCAAACCATAACCGAAAAATCTAAACCCCAAAACATTAAACCACAAACCTTAAGCCCCAAACTCCGTACGGCTGATGATATAAATCCTGCATTACCCATAATAAGGAATATACCGTAATTCCCATAGTTTTGGGTCCTTAAAGCAATGCAGGGTTTATATCATCAACCCTAAACCCTAAACCTCAAGCCCCAAACCCCGTATGTCGTAACCCCGGACCTGCCTGAAGGTTAAACAAGGCTTTGTTTATCTTCTTGGCTCCTTTGCCTCAGGCGGAAGGCTCGGGTTTAGGGCGCAGCCTTTTGGGGCGAAGGGGTCCCTCTGTAGGTACTTTAAATATTTCGGGCTAAGGGCTGAGGGCGTGTAGGGTGATCTAGGGTTTTCAGAGCAGGGCTTCATCACACTCGGCGTTTTACAGCGGTGCTAAAGGGTTTACATCAGGCTGTGCAAGCAGCCTAAGTATGATCTCGGCCTCTGTCACACTGCGACAGCGCTCACATAATCGGATCCCCGATTTTGACGCCCGGCTAAACTCTAAACTCCAAAGCCCTCATTCTACAGCACCCTGCAAATTCAGCGCAACCCTGCGTCTTAGTTTAAGATCCTCCAGATGGGTGGTTGTCAAAAATATGGTCCCTTTTTGGGTCCTTATTATAATACGGCACCTAATATTTAGGGTATCCAAAAAGGGACCATATTTTTGACAGCCACCCAGGGGTTAAGGGTGGCTCCGGGTACCAGGGCAAGGCACGCGGGTTTTGGATCATCGGAGACTTCCAATGCATACCCTAGAAGGGGCCCCCACCCTGTAAGAGTGGTATAGTAGGAATATAATAGGGCCCTAATACAATCCTTATAGTCACTATTACAGGGTGGGGGCAGCTTCCCCCAAACCCCCCCTCCCAACCCCCAAAGCCCCTAACCCCCAAACCTTAGACCCCTAAAGCCCCTAAAACCCCTGAACCCTAAACCCCCAAAGCCGGGAATAGGGTTGTGGGGTATACCATACTATAGTTATAATCAGGAACCCCCAAAATAGTATTGGCAATTATTTAAGCCCCTATGTTATAAAGCCCCCAAATACCCCGAAGCCGGGAGTTCCGAGTAGAACCCCCAAACCTTAAACCCCTAAAGCCCCTAACACCCCCAAAAGCCCTAAAACCCCTTAAGCCCCCACAAACCCCTAAAGCCTCCCAGGCCGGGAGTTCCGAGGACCCTCTTGAGGATCCTACTATAGTGTAAGGTATATTCCTCAATTAAGGGATATTGGAGTCTCTGGGTTCCGAGGACCCGGCTCAAGCCTCTTGAAGACTTCATCTTGTCTGCCCTAGGGCCGAGAAACAAGGCATTTTAGGACGAGAGCGGATGTGATATGGGAGTAGAAAATTCGGGGGTACCGAGGGTTCCTTTAAAGGGATCTATAAGGGTACTATGTCTATAAAGGGTTTAGGGTTTAGAGTTTCTGAAAAATAGGGGCACCTTGTCTTGGGGTCCTTATAATAAGGATCCTACTATTTAGGGTATCATATTAGGGTCCCCTATTTTCGGGACACTTTCGGAAACCCCCATATGGGCTTCTAAAGGGGTTTACCCGTGAATTTCTGGGGTTTTATACTGGCTTGCAGGGATTTAATGCGGGCCATCTTCATGAGAGTGTGAGTGGTTGTGCAAATGGCTTCAGAAGCTGGTGTCTTCTTGCTGAACTTGTTATGGTACGGTTACTATACTGAACTTTGAACCCTAGCAAAAACTATAATTTCAGCTGTTTCTTAGGGATTATAATAACCAAAGATAAAATTTATTTCCAAGTACGCCCAAGGCTATCTGAGGGCGATAAGGCGATAGTAGTACTAATTCTGCGGGCCTCTACGTATGTTCTGTTGCATTGCGGCGTGAGAGAAAGCAGGTGGTGCCCAGCCACTCAAAATTCAAGGACATCGGTGCGAGGAATGGACCGAATGACGACTTCTGCGGCGGCAAAACCTCGAATCCCTACACCCTACACCCTTCTTGTTTCGTTTTTGGAGGGGGGGGGTGAGGCCTAGCACAGGAAGGTGCAAGGTCGAGGTCAGGTGGAGCTCAGGGCCTCTCCCCCTGACTTGAAGCAAATGAATACGACTCCGAAATCCGAACGAAGAGCCCGTCGCGCGAAGACGATGCCTCACGAAGACGACCACACTTTCACCAAGTTAAAAACAGACCAAGATTGGGCATGTGGGCCGAGGTATTCGGAACACACACACCCTACACCCTACATGCAAAATCCTAACTCTTCGGCTAAACCCAAAACCTTCAGCCCGAAATCCCACACTCTAGACCCTAGGTCGAGCATTTCAAGAGCCCAAGTAGCAGGGCCGAGGAGACGTTTTTCAAGAGCTGCTTCTTCCGCAGCTGTGCGCGTTGGGCCTTGTAGCCTTCACCACATCGTACTTATGTGGGAGTTTCCGAAATTTAGGGGTACCTTGTTTGGGGGTCCTTATAACAAGGATCCTACCATTTAGGGTACTGTATTAGGGTCCCCTATTTTCGGAAACTCCCTTACACTTCAGGGTTTAAGACTTCGGGCTCACTGACACTAGTATTAGGGTTTCGGGTTTAGGGTTGAGGGTTTATGACATGTTCCACTGTGCTATGCCATGCTATGTTACACTGTGCAAGACTAACTACAGTACACTCTCGGGAACTATGCAGTGCTATACTATGTAATGTTTTACTACTAAGCTGTACTAGGCCGTGAAATTCTGTGCTATGTCCAACTTTGCAGTACTATGATTTCTAGTGCTAAGCTACTTGCTTCACTAAAAGCTACTATACCATGCCATCTTTTCCTAGACGCTGTGCCATGCTGCTATGCTACGTTGTAGAGGGCACGTCTTTTCCTCGACTCGGTGTCTTTGCACGTTTTTTGAAGAGCCCCTTGGCGATCCGGTCGCGGCTTGTGCTTTCGCTTTGGGGCTCGGGGTGTTGCCTGCGTGGAAAGGCTAAGGGTGGTGATTGAAGGCTTCGCTATGGGAGTTTCCGAAAACAGGGGACCCTAATATAGTACCCCAAATCATAGGATCCTTATTATCAAGACCCCAACATAAGGTACCCCTAATTTTCGGAAACTCCCCTATGCGCAACCTGATTTTAGTGGACTCCGCCCACGTATTGGATGCATCGAATTCGGCCAAGAATCTGCGGCGGGTGTTGACTTTCCAGAAGTCGATGAGATCCTCGACCTGAGATCAAAAACCGAGAATCCAAACTTAATAATTTCAACAGGGTTCGTTTATAGGTTTCATTCAAAAATGGTCTATAAGGCTTACTATGAGGGTTCTTTGATATAGCACTCGATCCCCAAACTCTGAACCCGACATCCGACATGCTAAACCCCAAAACCTCAATCTGGGCAGTGTCGACTTCGTCTGCAAACTGCTTGAACATCCTGCACAAGGTATTCCCAAAGCCTAGGGGTCTTAATGCGGGAGTCGGAATCGCCTGTATATAGCAATATACCCTTATATCTAAACATGTACTACACTATGCCCACAAGACCCTAGCCTGACTATTCAGGCACTTGTGTACAAGGCTTTTGTATCCCTTATTGTAGTGTATCCGCTGAAAGGACATTTATTCGGATGATTAATACTATACTTATCATAAGGAAGCCCCAAAATAGAACATTCGGCATTCGGACAGACTTCAGAGCCCAAATTGGGCGCGTCTCACAAAATAGAACAGGTAATTATTTAGGCCCCTGTATTAATGATCCTCAACCCGTGTTCCACATTTCAGGGGTCGACAGTGCACCCAACGAGCTTCGCCAGCTTCGGGCTTAGGGTTTACAGGGCTTCAGGGGCCTTAATAATCACCTATACTATTTTGGGGGTTCCTTATTATAGTTATCGTATCATGGGCCCCAAAACCCTATTCTAATTATTAAGGCCCCTCTATGAATTCATACCTTTAGGTAGCATATTGCATGCATTAGGATAAGGAGCCCTTCAAAGTATTCGTTCAGGCCCCTATACTGTCGGGTTGACAGGGTTTAGGGCCTTTGGTTTAGGGCCTTCCTCGGAGCATAGGCAGAAACCTAACTATCCGAGATGCGTGGGAATCCAGCTTCCAAAGCTTCTGTGCCACCTGCCGCCGAAACTGCCTGGGACAGTTTGGGGATCACTCCATGGTTCGATACTAGACGGTATCATATTCTACTATACGTCGTCATATTTTACTCCTACTGTACTATACGTTACGATACTGTACGATACTACGATACTGTGCGATGTGATGCGATACCATACGATACTCTTCGATAATATGCTTTCTATAAGTGGGGTATGCACTCCAACAGAGCTCTTGTCGGATTGTCCCGAGGTGGCGATCAGGACCAAACTTTTGAGAATTGGAAATCAAAGGATAGAATGTACTCAGTTTGAGAGGAGGACGGTATAGAGTTTAGGCTGTAGGGCATGCTTGCGACGAGAGTACTGCCTAAACCTCAAGTTCCCTGCTGTTCCAAGCTCCTAAGTATCAGATCACTCAAATCGCTGTTGGCGGTCCTGCTGAAGGCTGCACCCCCAAACCCTGAAGCCTACAACCCTAAACTCCTACATCCCTAAACTCTGAGCCCTAAAGCCCTAAACCCTAACCCCTAAAGCCCTTATACCCGTCAATGCCCCCAAGCCCAAATGCCCTGAACTTCCATCCCGAACTTTGAGAAGCGCCAAACCCGAGCCACTCATCCTGGAAGGCGGCATCCGAATCATGCTCCTGACATCTTTGTGCTGTCACTCGAAGCTCCCACAAGAAAATGTATATGTGTATATATATATATATATATATATACATAGATGAAGATGAACCAGTATATACATGTATATGCGGGTGTACATAAGCATATACATATACACCTGCATCGGGACGTATGTATTTATATATGTGTATAAGTACATATCTATCTCTATATATACATGTATATGTACGTATGTATGTATGTATGTATGTATGTGTGAACATATTCTCAGAGTTCTCAGAAGGGAAGTGTACATACATAAACATATACATGTATGTAAAGCTTTTGTATACCTATGTTTATGTATGCATATACATATACATTGTATTAAAATATATTATGTTATATTACAATATAGTATGTTATATTATATCATAGATGTACACACACACATATACAGTCTAAAGCCTTGGTGGGTTTGAGTTCTCTCATTCCGAGGTCCCAGAGGGGAAAGATGAGACAAATAATGATACCTTGGCAAAGACTAGTGGGTACAAAACTAGCACTAAGCCTGAATTTGGAGTTCACCTCTTGCACCGGAGCGCTCCCGGAGTGCTGCGATAGGCTATGCCTGCCTCGGTATGTGGAGTCGAAAGGCTGTAATGTGTCTGGACGGAATGCAGCTGTCGTCAGCGCAAGGGCTGTAACTGGACTGCGGCCTCTGGGTCCACTCCGCAGCCTCATGCGAACTGCTTCGCAACGCAACAGTCCTCGAGAAACTTCTCCACCAGCTTTGACATATGCACCTGGCTTCGTGGTAGGGTGACGGCTGCGGACAATCTTCTTAAAAGTCACTCTATGATGCTGCGGAGCATGAAGATGAGACAGCTGTGATGAAGATGAAGACAGGTTGCAGTGACAAGGAGGAGAGAACAACACGAACAGCATCAAGCACAGCACCGAATCCAATGCCGGTCACGAGAGCCACCAACAAAAAGCAGTCAAAACCATCAACGAAAATACCATCACCACTACAACGATTGCTTCCACCAGCAGCAACATCATCATCATCGTCGTCATCGTCATCATCCGTTTTCACAGTCATCACCATCATCACCACCGTTGTCATCGTCATCCTCGTCACCATGAACTATTTTACCTGGACATCGAATGCTGCTGCTTGATGGGTTTACGGGGCGGGACATGCTTAAACCAGCGTGCGCTATTAGTAGGGTTGAGAGAGCAGGGGCCAGTAGTGCGCGTCACTGAGTGATGCCGGCCACATGTGGCTGCCCGACGCACCACGGACTCCCTCAGTGGCGACTGAAGAGAAGATGAGCAGAAGCACCAGCAGCACCGGCAGCACCAAGCAGCACCACCAGCACCAGCACCACCAGCACCAGCAGCACCAGCAGCACCAGCAGCACCAGCAGCACCAGCACCAGCACCAGCACCATCGTATCATCATCACCATCATCATCATCACCGCCAACAATTATGTCAGCAGTACCCGCTTGAACATCAACACTGCCGACAACAACGTTAACATCAGCATGACCGCCACGAGCATGAACAACATGCCAACAATCGTACCGACTGACAGCGACGACAACGACAACGCCAACGACGACCACGATCACGACGAACGCTGGCAACAACAGCAACATTCAAAGATAACAGCAGCCAAGCCACCGAGAGCTCATACGTCTCCATTGTCTTGTTCTGGGAGGGGGCCTGCATACAGAAAAGTTGAAAGCTTGCAGCCAAAAGCAAGGGCTTACTGTAGGGGCCTTAACAATTACAATAGCATTTTGGGGGTTCCTTACTATACTTATAGCATAATATACCCCAAGACCCAAGCCCCCTGCAATAAGTCCTTATAATCGCCATTATAGTAGCCCTGAAGACCCCTTCAAAGGAACCCTATTCTAATTCTTAAGGCCTGCCCCTGCATTACTGTGGCTTCGGACCTTGGGGCTTGGCGCTTGGGGCTCTGGGGGTCTGGGGTGGAAGGCAATACTTCAGTCTACCATAAGGACCCCAGGGTTTAGGGTTTAGGGGTTTAGGGCCAGAGAGTCCAATACCCCTTAATTAAGGAATATACCTTAAACTATAAGGAGATTCAGATTCTGATTTAAGCAATATTCCTTAATTGAGGGGTATTGGGCTCTCTGGGACCCTTGGGGGGGAAGGGGGAAGGGCGTACGGGACTGCACTTCCTTAAGCCTTATTAAGTCCTTGTTATAGGTATTAAGGCCCCCTACCCCCCTGCCCCCCTAAGGGTCCTTATGAGTCTGCCGCTCTTCTGAGCATCCCACTCCCTCCTCACAGAGACAAAGGTTTTGGACTGTAACAGAGCCATTTTTAACTAGAGTAAGGTTTTGGGCCTCATTATACTATATACTATGAATATAATAAGAATGAACCCACAAAACTGTATAGGCATATAGGTCATTATTTAGGCCCCTATAGTAGAGCCTTTCCAGCTTGGGGGGGGGCAAATGTCGGCCTGAAGCTGCGGAGGTTTGGGGCTCAAAGAAGTCCGGCAGGGTGGGCTGCGGAAGAGCGTGAGTCTGTTCCCAGAGAGCCCAATACCCCTTAATTAAGGAATATCGCTTAAATCATATTATGCGCCACCCCTATAATTTAAGGTATATTCCTTCATTAAGGGGTATTGGGCTCTCTGTGTTGCGTGTTGAACAAACCACGGACAATCTTTGGTGTTGGGCGCTTGGTTGGGCGGGGGGGCAGCGGGACGGTTGGCACTGGTTAGTGTCAAGTGGGAGTTGCGGCTAAACCAACCCTACATCCCTGAAGCTGGCCAATAAACCCAAAACCTGAAACCGCAAACGCCAAAACTGTCTGAAATCTAATCGCGACAAAGACAAAGTGGCCTCGACCCCATTCAGCACCGCCCAGAACTAAACTGCTTGGAGGTCTGAAAGTTCCCAGAATCAAACAGCAAAAGCCCCGCTGCCTGAACGGAGGGTCCCGGCTCAAGCATGCCCTCTGCCGGCGCCACAACGTCCGTCAAAGGTGCCTCTGACGTGATGAAGGAAGCAGGATTCGGGTTTAGGGTTTAGGGACTCCATTGATGGTAGAGCTTGCGCACTTGACGTGTTTCTTGCAGACTGAGGGAGGCATCGCACCCTCAAGCCTAAGCCCCTAAAGCCCGTCTGTGGAGAGGTGAGGCCCCCGCCTATGTGACCAAGCCTGAACCAAACCTTAAACTAGAAACCTAAACCCTGACCTGAATTTATCTAGGTAGCTTGGCTTCCAGTCTAGGGCTTTGCAATATGCTGCGCCGGATGTTGGATGTTCAGAAGCTAGGGAGGATGATCCAAAACGCCGTTGTACCGGTGTGCCTAGTTAGATGAAGTCGAGAGTTCATAGTGCCGGGGTCTCAAAGAGTGTGGGTTATGTACTTTGCCCCGAGACTACGGAACGATGCCTCACATCACGACGAACCCTCCCTAAACCCTAAATCCCAAACCTTAAATCCTAAATCCTAAACCCCAAATCCTGGACCCTGAATCCTAAATGCTACACCCGAACAGCCCTCCCCCCTCTCGCGGGGTCGCGAGCGGTTAGCTTCCCAAGACCAGACCACACAAAGATCCAAACTGAGTCTCTGGCCCTAAACCTGGTTCAAGTGCCACAACCCTACAGTCGTAATACCCTAAACTTGAAGGAATACCCTTAAACCCTAAACTTTAAACCTATACACTAAACTTCAAGACTTTATAAGGTAATATCCTTACTGTAAGACCTAAACCCTAAACACCCTAAACATTAAGCCTGCAGGGCTCGTGCCTCAAGACCGGCATTCAGGTTCGTGGGGTTGATGACTGCGCTGCTCTGACCTGGGGTGGCCTCACATGCTGCACACTTAGACTCGGAGGTTCATGGGTCACTAACTTTAGCTATCTTATACTTGTATCCCTACTTATAGAACCCTAAACCCTAAACCCTAACTTTAGTTATCTTATACTTGTATCCCTACTTATAGCTACCCACGAACCTCCAAGCAGGTTTCAAGGGTTTCAGGGCTTGGGTTTCGCATGTAGGTAAGGCTTACGTGGAGCGTAAGCTCCGCAGAAACGGCCTAAACGCACCCGAAACAAAAACCCCTTGTAGGATACAACAGGGCTTCTTGTGTATGTTTAGCTCACTTTTGGTTAGTAGGGAATGGAGGAATGGGGTACAATTATAACTACTATTACTACAATTCTTCCATTCCCACTAACCAAAGGTAAGTTAAGTCAGAATGGTCCCAGGCCGGACAACGCACAGGACATTTCAGGCGCAGCCTTTCATTGGGCCGCCAGGCCTCTTGAGGACACCGACATAGTTTCGACATAGGAAACCCTAAACCCTCACCCCTTATCCGCCGCAGGACCTACACCTGCTATCTGCTACCGTTCCGACAGTGTGCCGAGACATAATATAGGGGCCTTAATAATTAGAATAGGGTTTTGGGGCCCATAGGTAATTATTAAGGCCTCTATATTAAGATGATTTGTCCCCGGCCACTGAGCGTCGAGCGTGCATACTCATAGTTTAGGGCCAAGTTTAAGGTGACGCCTTTCAGGACATTGATTTAGAAACCACGGAATGTTCTTCAAAACCGGGCTCAGAGACAGCACCCGAATTGCACCACAGGACCCTACTTAAAAACCCAAACCCTGAAACCCCAAAATCCCAAAACCCCTCAACCATTTGGTGGACCTCCCGGTCTTTCACAGCCTCGGCGGAATCCTGCGGCACGTGCAATGGAAAAGGGGATTTTTTCGTGGGCTTCAAGCGAAACCAGCGCTTTAAGAGCTACGGCGCCTCCGAAACACGAAACCCCCAACCCCGGTTCTAGGTGTAGGGTTTTGTGCTTAGGATTCCCCAATTCCCCTGCCTTGAAGAAGGACTCGCGCAGGTTGTAGCGCTTGACACTGGCAAGATCAACGGGATTTGACGCGCAGAATACTTCCGGGAGTTTGAAAACTCCAGGGTACATAGGGGCGACTTGCCCGGGGATACATAAGGGAGTTTCCGAAAATAGGGGGCCCTACTATAGTTCCCTGAATTGTAGGATGCTTGTTATAAGGACCTGCAAAATGAGGTAGCCCTAATTCTCGGAAAGTCCTGTTCCCTCAATCCTGGGTCCTATATTCCTGTGAAGGCACACTGTTCCGAAGGCTCAAGCAGTAAGTAACCAAGGTCAATGGCTTCCAGGGGGGGGACTCCAATGGCTCAAGGCCGACCCAAAATCCCGGGGCCTTCCCACGTGGGGCTCTCTTCTGTAGTGCATGTAGGACGCATGAAGATGCAGGTCTGAGGTGGGTAGAAGCAAGATTCAACGCGAGCAGCCAGAGATCACCTGCCTAAACATAATAATATGTAAAGGCCTTAATAACAAGACTATGGTTTCGCGGCCCGTCAAAGTACGGATATATGGGGACCTAGTTATGGAGAGAGTGTAAGGACAAGGAAATAGCATTAGTAATTACGTAGGCTCTGTAAAAACGGGCCCTAGAACCATCTAACTCAAGGCCTACGCAAACTACACCCTGAGCCCTGTTCCAGCGCCCTTTCCATCCCTAGAAATCCAGCTTGCATCTATGATTGGCTACCATACTCTGCGCTTTTTGAAGGGCAGCAAGTAGCCTATTGCCACAAGCCTCAATATGTAGAAGAGGCCTTGGGCCATGCCATTTTCTACTTATATCCAGGAACCCTAAGGAATAGTATGACTATCATTCCGACCCCTACAACATCCTATTTGGGGTGTATCATAGTAGACTTAGATCGAGGAACCCTAGAGAATAGTATCACTAGTTCTTCCGACCCCTAAACCCAACAATCCTACCCTACTTGTCGGATATCATGGGGAACAGAATGTTAACCTTTCTGGTTATAAAGGGATGTTTAGGGACTATACTACCCAAAAAAGGTTAAAGGTTACCTACTCGACTACTAGACTACTGCAAAACCTAAAGCCTAAACCCTAAACCCCGAATGGGCAACCCGTCGCTTGTCTGAGCCCAGACGGTCGGCCTTGTGCCTCTGGTTTTGTCCTCCTTTTCTCTGCCACACCTGGGCTCTTCCAGCGGCTATTGGGCCCGAGGGCAAGGGGACTTGACCGTGAAACATCCAGAGAGCAGTACGTCTACATCTCAAAACCCTAAACCCGAAACCCTAAAACTGCTTTTTTTGTCGTTAAGGTCCCCAGGCTCAATGCAAGGAACCCCTAAATAGGGTTTTGGGTTTAGGGTCCTTCCAAACAGACCTTGGGCGGCTGATCGAAAGGCTCGTGGTTGGAGGGTCGTGCTGGTATCTCTCTTCCAGAAGGATGATTTCGTGCACCTAAATTCTAAGCTGAGCCCTAAACCCTAAACCCCTAAACCCCAATTAAACCCTAAACCCCTAAATCCTAAACCCCTCAACCCTAAATTCCTAAAACCTAAACCCTAAACTCCTAAATCCTAAACCCGTAAACCCCTGTATAAAGCCTAAACCCCTAAACCCCAAACTGCTAAATCCTAAACCCTAAACCGAAGCCCTTCGGAAGAGCTCCGGCCTCAGGACCCCTTGAGGCCGCGGCGTCTGCAAGTAGATGTTCTTCCCCAGCGTCCAGGGAAGGCTGAAGAGACGGAGGACCTTGGATAGCTGCCGGCTTTCTGGTCTTGCAGCGGCAGTTCTTGGAGGTTCATGGTTAGATCTAAGTAGGGTTATAAGTAGGAAGAAATAGAATATTCATGTTACAGGACTTATAACCCCACTTATAACTATTATGACTACTATAACTATTACAACTATCATAACTACGCATGAATTTTCAAGTTTCACAGCGGAAGTGAGGTCCTTGGCTCTCCTCTCGAAGCCGAAATCTCAAACCCCTAGGATGCTTCGACACAAAACACACCGAAAGAAGCCACCGACGGTAGCTTGGGTTCCCTTGAGCGTTCCATGTAGGCGCTTCCTCCGATTAGGGGATCTATAACAGGGGCTCAGGCGGCTTTTGAGGGTTCCTTCAAGAGTTTCTTTTAGGGTGCAGGCTTTAGGGTTTGGGGTCGGCGGAGCTACGTGTCGGAAGCAGTACTGTAGGAACCTGATTAAGAAACCTTGGGCCTTTCTTAAGGTTCCTTTAAAGGGGTCTATAAGGGTTACTATGAGGGATCTATAAGGGTACTATAATAACGTAGGAACCTGATTAAGAAACCTTGAGGCTTCACTAGGGTTCTTATATGAATCCTACTATTTGGGGGTTCTAGGGAAGGGGTTTCTAAATCAGGTTCCTATATTGAGACATATGGAGCTTTCCAGGCTCTGTGCAATGTCGAACAGTCCAAGCATGTCGAACCGTCCAAGCCCTCCGGCAAAACTCGGCTAAGGGTTTAGGGTTTGGGGTTTATGGTTTGGGTTTAGGGCTTAGGGTTTAGGGTTTGGGTTTAGGGCTTAGGTTTAGGGCTTAGGGTTTTTTTTAAAGTGCAAGCCCAGGGTTTAGGGTTTGGGGTTTGTGGTTTAGGGTTTGGGGTTTTGGGGGAGTTCGCCAGGTCGAGTTCAACGCCCTGGGTTTGGGAGATCAGGGTTTGAACGTCTACCATAGGGCCCGGAATATGAGCGTTTTAATGCTTAGACTAGGGCTCCTTTTAAAGGCCCGGAATATTAGCGTTTTAATGTTTAGAATAGGGCTCCTTTTAAAGGGCATTCTAAGGGTTACTATAATGAATCTACAAGGGTAATATAAGCCTTGCTTAGCCTAGGGCCTAGGACCAGACACAGGGCTGTTGGCAATCAACTGGCTTCTCGAGGAATCAGGAAACAAAGACCTGCAATGCTACTTGGCCGTAGGCGGCTGGTGGGATTCAGCGGCCGACCAATGTGACTGTAGAGTGCCGCATCAGAACCCATTCAAGATCGAGAAATAACCCGTAAAGCCAAAACCCTAAACCCTGGACTGCAGGCAAAGGGCAGGGGGCACAGCGTGCTCTTGCCGCATCTGCAAGACGAATCTGGCAGAGCCAGGCTTCAGGAAGCGAGCGAAGTCCTATTTTCGTGGAATAGGGCTTCGGGGTATATTATAGTCTAGTTATTCAGAAGGACTTCGAGGGGATGCTAGTACGAATTTTCCCGACCCCGTAGAATGCCGGGTCTCTCAGGGTTACCTGATGTCGGAGGTCATGATAGAACGGTTCCTACAATTTGCGGTCAGGTATTTTCTGAACCCCCCCCCCCCCCATGGTGAACCCACGGGCCCCACCAAGATCCGAAAGCTGCAATCCAGCCTTGGGGCTTCTTGAAGCTACAAGACCCAAAATTACAGGAGGAGCCCCGGGGCCCGAACACCCTCAGATCCTGAACTGAGCAAGGAGCCCTAGAAGCTTAAATCCTACAGGAGCTGTTTAGGATTTCGGCCTAAATCCTAAACCCCAAAACCCCTCTTACCCTAAACCCCGAACCCCAAAACCCTCTTACCCTAAAACCTAAACGAAGAGAGGAGCCCGGCAAAGTTGTATTGGTAGTCCACCATGGACTTCTCAAAGATTCGATCGAAGGTCTTCGCCTCGCACGGAGCTGCTCTCTCTCCCGAAGCCCCTCCTTGAGTTCAAGGTTGGAATAATAATGAGAGTAGTAGTAGTAGTAGCAGTAGTAGTAGTAGTCGTCGTCGTAGTGGTAGTGGTAGTGGTAGTGGTAGCAGTAGTGGTGGTAGTAGCAGTAGCAGTAGCAGTGGCAGTAGCAGTAGCAGTAGCAGTAGTAGTCGTCGTCGTCGTCGTAGAGGTAGTGGTAGTGGTAGTGGTAGTGGTAGTGGTAGTGGTAGCGGTAGTGGTGGTAGTAGTAGTAAGTAGTAGTACTACGACTACCAGTAGTCGTAATAGTATTAGTAATAATTGTAGTCATTGTAAATCATACTGATAAGACTAGTTCAAAAGCAAGGAAGACTTCCAATACCATGAAAAATAGAACCGGAACAGGATTCCCTGGACTCTAAACCCCACCCCAAAGTCAAAAGAACAAAGGCTTCGGAACCCTAAACCCCTAAAGCCCACTCCCTGTTGTTGTGGACATGCGAACAGCATGGATGTGCTGAGCTTTGCCCCATCTCGGAGGTGCCAGGTCACCATCATGGCAATCAGCATGTTCAGCATGAGAATGACGATGAGCCAAAGACCTTAGGGTTACGGTGTCGGGTTTAGGATTTAGGGTTAGCGTCTGAGCACACACCTAGTCCCTGATCCGAACCTCAACCCCTAAGCCGTAAACCTTATGGAGAGATCTCAGAAATGGAAAACCATCCCAAAGACCTAAGCCTTAAACCTCAACTTCTCCAAAGCGGACCTCATATTCCACACAGCCCCTGAAGTCTCCCAGCTCTAGTTCCGTCCCTTTCGGAGGGTTCCACTTGTGAAGTTTGCTCGCGTTAGACGGCACATCCGACGCGGAGACGCGCGAAATCGTGAATGGACAGAGGCATTGAGTAACAAACCTCATATTCCTATGCGTCTCCTCCCGTTTGAAAAGCACATGAAGCAACTTATTTGAGCTCAGGTGGCCAAAATTCAGCATCTGCGGCGCGACGGTCCTCAGTGCTCCGGACGGTCAGAGGTTTAGGGTAAAATAGGGGCATTAATCATTCGAATAGGCCTTGCGGGTGTAGTGTCGATCCTGAAGCATATTATTGGCGATGTTTTGGGCTTCTACATTAGGCTTAGGGCTTCAGGGGTTTATGGTGTTTAAGGTTACTGGGAGTTCAGGAGAGGCCTCAAAATCAAGACTTTGACGCGCTTGTACCTGCACCCAGACCTTCCAAAATCCCTTAATTAAGAAATATACCTTAAATCATATTCGGGGCCCTACTATAATTTAAGGTATATTCCTTAATTAAGGGATTTTGGAAGGTCTGGGCAGTTTCGGGGTCTCCACTCTGCCCGCTGTAAGTGTAGGAACCTCTTGGCTCGGGCCCCGAAGGGTTCCTTTAAAGGGGTCTATAAGGGTTACTATAAGGGATCTATCAGGGTACTATAATAATGTAGGAACCTGACTAAGAAACCTTGGGCCTTTGTTAGGGCTCCTTTTATGAATCCTACTATTTCTAGGGATTATAGGCCCAGGGTTTCTGAATCAGGTTCCTACATTAGTGAGCGTGGCTTTCTCTTCATCTGCATTTGGAAAGGGGAATTGTAAAGTCTGCCGCCCGACGACGTACCCAAGTTTATAAGCTTGCGATACAGTGCACCTGAGTGAATCTTGGCGATGCACGAACTCCTCAAGTGTAGTGCTGAAATTTGAAGTATAAGCCACACAGAAAAGACTCTCATCGCCTCGCATGATTTGTGAGAAGGTCATCCCCACATGCCGGCGGCAACCAAAAATCGTCATGATGATGTTTCTTGAAAGTCAAAAGTCGCAAACAAAGCCACATCTCCCACGAAAGCATAGTCCGTGCAGGTTTTGCAGCCCTCCCACAATCATTCATTCAAGGCTCGCGTGTGGTGATGCCTCGAGGCAATCGAACGGCACGTCTTTGCCTGAGCTTCAAGGCCCTTCTGGGATGTCCATGCCAATCCCACATGTAAACCAACCTGCACAGAACCCGACTGAAGCACGTCTGCACTGCAAGCCGCGAACTTTCGAAGAACCCTGCACCCATGCGAGGAATACCCTAAACCCTAAACCCTGCAAATCTCTTGTGGATGACGTCCGGACAGTGAGCACGTGGGCCCAGCCTGAATGGCTAACACCGCTCTCTGCTTATCCCCCTCTTGAGCCCTCACGCAGAAGGGTTTAGAGTTTAGGGTTTAATGTCGGGGCCTTCATGACACTAGAAGAGGGTTTGGGGGGCTCCTATTTAAGTATAGTACAGTGGGCCCCAAAAGGTAATTCTAGTTGAGGGCCCTCTAGTAGTGTTTACTTGGAGGTTCATGGTTAGTTATAAGTAGGGCTATAAGTAGGGTAACTATGTTTATGAATTATAACCCCTACTACGGGACTTACAGTACCACGTCTAACTACCCATGAACCTCCAAGTACAAAGACCCAATAGCTAGAACCCTACTGTAGGTCCCTTATAGTAACCCTTATAGGACCCTTTGAAGAACCCCATCTGTAAGTAAAAAAACCCTGGAACCCTCCAAGTAGGAGATCCCCACGTTCAGAACCGGACCGATCTGGATCTCGAAGAGCAGCAAGACACCAGTGAACCAGTCTGCTGTCGCCTCGGCTCTCCGAAGAGTCCCATGTTCAGAGCCCAGGGTTTAGGGTTTAGGGGTTTAGGGTTTACGGTTTAGGGGAGTTTAGCCCGAAGTCCCTAAAGTGAGCCCTGAACCCTGAACACTAAACCCCCAAACTTGATGATGCACACATGAGGTTCGACTAATCTGCATGCATGGTACCATTCGGACGACTGTTGCATGACAGGCCACGAAACTCCCTCACCCAAGACCTCTAGCTACCAAGTTCCTTCTCCCAGTGGGGGACCCTGAGGGACCCATGATAAACTGTAAGGACCCTAAGGACTGTGATGGTAACCTTTAAAGGGATCCTTTTCCTTAAGGAAACCCAGACTCTCCCTGAGCCGGCTGACGGGATGGAACATCGCGCAGGACGTGTCCTGCGCCCAGTTCTCCGCGCCGCTGCCGCCCCGACTGGGCTCTCTGGGATTCGAAGGAAATCTTGCTAGGTATAAAGGGGACTCTAAAGGGAGAGGAGACTAAAGGTTCGGTATACTAAGGAATATACCTTAAATGATAAGGGAACTCATATTCTGACTTAAGCTGTATTCCTTAATTAAGGGGTATTGGGCTCTCTGGGAACCCTAACTTACCTTTGGTTAGCAGGAATGGAAGACTGGTAGTGATAGTAGTTATAATTGTACACCATTCCTCCATTCCCTACTAACCAAAGGTAAGAATAGGGGGCCCTAATACAGTACCCTCTATTTAGGATCCTTACTATAAGGGCCCCAAAATAAGGTACCCCTAATTTTCGGAAACTCCTGTATGAAACTCCTGTATCCTTTCTCCGAGCTGCCCTCTGACCTACATGCCACTCCAGAGAGCATCGACATGTACGGTTTAGGATCGACGGTAGCCCTTAACCCTAAAGCATATCCTTCCTAAGAAGTTGGACCTCCGGTTTCGGGCGCCTATCATGACGCGTCTGCGACATCTGGGAAACCAAACGAATCCTTCGGAGATGACTCCGAGGGTTTGTGGCTGAGGTTTCTTTGGGAAACGCCCATTTGTGATTTATCGAAAAGTCACAAGCGAACGATGTAGATGTGCGAGGCAACAGCTGAGTAAAGATGTCGCGGCGATTTGACCTTTGTGGCCTAATCCGACTCTTAAAGGGCTCCTCAAACGGATCTATAGGGTTCCTTAAAGGGATCTATGGGGTTTACTTAGTAAGTAGGTTATAAGTACGCCCTTCTCGCCCGCTCTCTAGCTCAAGCATGGCGTTTCCCTGGATCCATAAGCTGAAACTCCTTGGAACCGCTGGGTTTCGGAACAGTATGTTGGGGTTTGGAGATTTACGATGCGATAGCGATATAAAGAACTGATAAGGGACATGAGCACTACTTAGTGTAAGGGCCTCAAGAATTAACTATAACCATAATAAGGAATCGCCCTCGCCCCAAAGCAAGGATTGGTAATTGTGTAGTCCCTGAACCCTCAACCACTATCTGACAGAAACACAAGCAGGACTATACTGAACTTGGAACCCTAGCAAAAGTTACAATCTTTGCTGTTTCTTAGGGATTATTATAATAACAAAAAATTGAATACTATTTCTAAGTACCCCTAAGAGGAGGCCTCCGCTGCTTGAAGAGCGTGATGAACGCGCCGACGAGACCTACGTGGCCACGGCGAGGTAGGGCTTTTAGGGTTTAGGGCTTAGGGTTTGGGATTCAGGGTTTAAGATATAGGGTTTAGGATTCAGGGATACGAGGAATCGGAGGAGTGTCTGTCTCAGTGCTACACCCCTAATCCCTGAAACCCCAAACCAAATCCTAACTCCCACAAGCGCGAAACTCTACATACATATACGGTTCAAAAAGGTACTGGAAAGAGAATATAGGGGTTATAGTCAGAATACGATAGGAGTTACAACGAAAGGTATGATACAGTTACTTGTGTTTGCACAAGGGAGCAACCGCTTAGGGCTTTGGTTTCGGGTGTTGGTGGTTTAAGGGTTAAGGCATACGACCACAAACCCTAGAGACCATACACCGAGCCCAAGGCCATCAAACCTTACCCCCAAATACCCTGCATTTTTCGGATCTTGTACAAGGAAGTTAGCATTAGTATAATGGGGCCCTAGAAAAGGTAGGTTGTATAGGAATCGAGCAGGTTTGGCGCTTTCAACCTTCGTGCCATCGAGGTGCTGACAATGATGGGCAGCAATAGAGCAATCCATCGAATCATGTCCACGATCATCTGCACCTCTTTCTGCCCCAGAAACCAAGGAAGCAAAAGGCTCACTTTCAGAATAACACTACAGCTCCGCACCCCGAAGGCGAAACGGCATTTGCAGCTACGAAAAACATGATCCCTCGAAACCTACAGAAACCCGGAAACCCAGAGAGCCCAATACCCCTTAACTAAGGAATGTACCTTAAATTAAAAGGAGGTCCATATTTTGATTGAAGCTATATTCCTTACTTAAGGGGTATTGGGCTCTCTGGAAACCTCTTAGAACCTCACAGAAGCTCCGTGAGAACATCTACGTACAGCAACCTCGAAAGGCCAAAGCCCGAACGGCCTTCCGAAGCGAGTAGGGCTTTGGGGTAAACCATGCCAAAATTGTAATAAGGAGCCCAAAATGGTATTGGTAACCCCTGTCGAATCTTGGGCTGCCGGACCTATTGCTACTGGGCTAAGTCTTGGAGTTTGGCATTGGGTTGACCTGCATCCCTCGATACCTGAGAGAGAAATCTGGCTTTCAGAGGGGTTAGGAGGGAGCCTGATATTCGGAAACCCGGTTGGTGAGACTGGCTGGGGTGCGGGCTTTGACATAGGGGCCTATATAAATAGTGACCACTACTGTTGGGGGGGTTTTCTTATTATAACTATAGCATAACACGCGCCAAAACGCTATTCTAATTGTACGTAACGTCACTCACTAAACCCTAAACCCTAACCCCTAAGCCCTAAACCCTGAACCCCTAAACCCTGAACCCCTAAACCCTGAACCCCTAAACCCTAAACTCCTCAAAGAGACCGACCGCCAGAAGTCCTCTGAACCCTACGTCCGACTCGTCGGCAACAGCTTCCGAGGCACCATCATCGACACCAGGGGTCCGTAAACCGACGACATCCTGCGATACCGGCGGGGTGGGGAGGGGTTCTCCTGAAGCTTCGACCTACCTATCTATCTATCCATCTATCCATCCATCTATGTTTAAGTGTATGCATACACATGTTGTGGTTACAGGTCCCTGTCTATCTATCTACCTATCTATATTTACATATATATACATATATATATGTATATATATATATATATATATATATATATATATATATATATATATATATATATATATATATATATATATATGCGTATGTATCTTTAGACCAATCCACATACACACATACACATACATCGTGTGGGCCTCAAGGGTTAGGATTTCACACTTCGTTTTGGGGATCGTACGGTCAATGCTGCAGCTGCCTGCTACGTCGCCTAGACAATCGGGGGTCACCTCCTCTCAGTCCATTATGATGTACCCAGAGAGCCCAATACCCCTTAATTAAGGAGTATACCTTAAACTATAAGGGGATTCATATTATGATTTAAGCTATATTCCTTAGTGAAGGGGTATTGGGCTCTCTGGGCTCTCAGTCTATGATGATGTAATCTAGCTAGATACCATTAAAACCCAACAAGACCTCTATATTATGGCGTCCACATCTCCTCAGGAGGCTCACGCCCTGCGACATGCCCATGAAGAAGACGCCGCACTTGGCTCCAGGGGCACTTAGACGTGATAGGGTTCATGGCTTTAAGGGTTTTAGGGGGACTATGGTTACAGGGTTTCAAGGGCAAAGGTTTTAGGAGAAGGCCATAAGAGTTTTAGGGCTTAACAGCGCAGCCTAGGATTGCAGCGACAATGCGGGAGGGCTCTTTGAGGAACTTCTCTTAGCCTGCGCTTGTCAGGTTTCTGGAGCGACAGAATCTTGATGTCGGGGTCTTAAAAAATTAGGATATGCTCCTTGGCCAAATTAAAGCTCGAATGTGGAGAGACTGTAGCGGACAGTTTTCGGCTTATTCAGAGCTCTATACTATGCACGGGCTGAACACCTGACCATCACACCGGACGCTGACGAAATACCTGCCCTACACCCAAAACACCTAAACCCTACCACCCTAAACCCTAAACCGTACCACCCCATAATCCTACCACCCTAAACACCTGAACCCTCAACCCTATACCTTGAACCCGGATACAGCAAGGCTCTGAAGGTGATAAGCTTTGAGGGCTTAGGGCTATAGGGTATAGGGTGGTAGGGTTGAGGGTCTAGGGTTTAGGTGGTAGGGTTATGGGGTGAAGAATTTTAGGGCTTGGGGTTATGGGGCTTTTTCGAGCTTAAGCTTCTCAAATTCCGGAGCACATGAAATCCCGGATTCAGGAGAAGGTTGATACAATGGGGATTCCCCAGTACACTGCCCCTGTAAACGAGAAAAGGGTTCAAGATTATTGAAATCCGATCTCTTTCGTGCCCTAGATGCCCTAAACCCTGAACACCCGAATCTTGTTGGGCCTTAACAGACAGAATCGAGGTCCTGTATGTACTCTATGATAGAGTCTCTATCACATGACGGAGCCGGACGGAAACACATCAGCAATTCTTCAGACACCTTCGATCCTGAAGAGCTACACAGAACCTTCCCCAAGCCTTAATATAGGGGCCTCAATAATTAGAATAGGATTTTGGGACCCATTACACTATACTTTAGCCCGAAACCCGAAACCCCAGAACCCTCATCGAGTCTCCTAGCCCGCAATGCCTGACCCCTAACTCCTACATCCAAGAACCCCCATAGACCCTAAACCCTACACCACCCTAAACAGTACACCCTACGCCCAAAAAAACCCTTTCAGCCCTAAGCCCTACCCAGAGAGCCCAATACCCCTTAATTAAGGAATATGGCTTAAATCGTAATATGAATCCCCTTATGATTTAAGGTATAATCCTTAATTAAACACCCTAAAAGTCTCCCCATGAAAAAGTCCTAGGCTCCGCCCACATGGCTTGGATGTAGTTCGGCTCCTCCCCTTCCTGGGACTCGTGGATCAGGCGGAAGATGCAGCTGATGCAAATGAACCTTTGGGGTTTCGGTTTAGGGTTTGGGGCTTGGGGTTTAGGGCTTCAAGGGCTTAGGGCTTAAGGATAAAGAGGTTCAGGGGTAGAAAAGGTTTTGGGTTTCACGGTGTAGGTTTTAGGGGTTTAGGGTTCAAAATCATGGCTTTGATTCAATCGGGTATTGTAGGTGTGCCGTACTGCTTGTATCATGCGGGCCTAGATTATCAGAGTAGGGTGTTGCAGAAGAATGTACTATCACTCAACAGCGGTTTAGAGGGAACCGTCTTCCATCTTTTTTTCGACCCTGATGTAACCACGGCTGTATCGAGTCGAGATCTTGAGGCCCCCCGGCGCATTTCAGGGTCTGAAGAGACTGGCATGCGATAGAAGGTAGAACTCAAAATATGGGAGTTTCCGAAAATAGGGGCCCCTAACATAATACCCTAAATAAAAGGATCCCCAGTAGAAGGACCCCAAAATCAGGTACCCCTTATTTTCGGAAACTCCCATATGTACCCTAAACCCATAAACGATGGTCGACACTTCCAAGCCTTATGATACAGCTCTCAAAAGGCACGTTGGCAGATTGAGAGATACGACCCTTAAACCCTTAAGCCCCAAACCCTAAAGTAAACCCAGAACCAGGGGGTTCAGCTTGGAGGAGCGATAGGACCCTTAAACCCCTTAAGCCCCAAACCCTAAAGTAAACCCAGAACCAGGGGGTTCAGCTTGGAGGAGCGATACGACCCTTAAACCCCTTAAGCCCCAAACCCTAAAGTAAACCCAGAACCAGGGGGTTCAGCTTGGAGAAGCTGCAGTTACAAGGCCGGGGGTAAAACGGATCAAACCCTGAAACACTGGAACCTTTGAAGCCTCAAGCGACCCAAAGCCTCCAAAACCCCTTAATTAAGGAATATACCTTAAATTATAGTAGGATCCCTTATATGATTTAAGGTATAATCCTTAATTAAGGGGTTTTGAAGCCTCAAGCGAAGCCCCTTTTTGAAGTTCATATATAGAATCCTACAAGGTAACCCCAAAAAGGAACTACTTTGGGGCCTATGGGTACCCTAAGCCCCCCCAAGGCAAGCGTGCAAGCTGGCATAGGGAGAAGGAGATCTGGGGTTCCATCTGAGCTTTCTGGGAGTTTCCAAAAATGGGGGGACCCCAATATAGTACGCCAAATAGTAGGATCCTTATTATAAGGATTTTTAAAATACGGTACCCCAAATTTTCGGAAATTCCCATATTGCGCCAGGAGTAGCCCAAATGCGATGAACTCTGCGATGTTCACCTTGCTGGAGCGTGCGTTGCAAGCGGGACCGAGGCCAAGAATCCTGTCTCAACTTCTCGTAACCTGCACCCCTGATCCACAACCCCCAAACCTTGCACCCGAAACTCGAAAACCGAAGCCGCCCAATGTAGGAGCCGTAAGAATTATAGAAGAGGGGCTTAGGTTAGAGTTTAGTATACTATCATTGTATAAGGATTACAAGAGAAAGCTACTACGAAGAAAGACCTTTAAGCCGGAAGGCTCGAAACTCGAAACTTCTATACAGCGCCTGCTTCAGCACCCTAAGCCCCTAATAGGCCCCTAACCCTTAATGCTATCATTTATTGCTGTTGTCACTATGATTTCTTATGCTTGCTTTTTAAAATGGTTCCCGTAAGTATAACCAAAACTACCAGTGCCATGCCTGCAATTGGCTACCAGAATGATTAGTCGTATGGTGGTTATTATGGTTCTTAGTAGCATCGTTGGGAGAGGCATTGTGATTCCGACCATTATCGGTACCACTTTGCTTGTTGCGACTGCTCCTGCTTTCGAACGACTACCCAGAGAGCCCAACACCTCTTCATTAAGTAATATACCTTACATTATAAGGGGATTCATATTACGATTTAAGCCATATTCCTTAATTAAGGGGTATTGGGCTCTCTGGGTAGCTGCAGGGTTATGGAAAGTCTCAAGGACTTGCGCGCCCTCCACGAATCCACAACGGAAGCCTTCGATGATATTCGGAGACATGCGACCCGAAACCAGGTTTTACTTTATCTAGGAATTATACATAATGGAATCAATGTGATATTGATAATATCTGCATAGGTATATGTATATGTGGATGTATATGTATATGTATTTCTATGCGGAATGTGAATTTGAAATGTTTGCATAGGTATATATGGTATATGCATATGTAGGGTCTCGAAAGTGAAGGGGTTGTCACATTCCTTTTGCGCCTCGAGCTGCCGAACTCTATCTTTTAGACTGATACGAGAGCTTCCGAAAATAGGGAACCCGAATATAATACCTTAAACAGCAGGATCCTTATGACAAGGACCCCAAAATAAGGCACCCCTGATTTTCGGAAACTCCCATACGGTTCAGGGTGAATGGTTATGGCAGCGCGGCAGAACTATTGAATTGTCAGTTTAAGATGCTGAAGGAGGCTTTTGCGTGGCCTTTTACATTTGTGCAAAGGCGTGAAATCTCCTGAATTAAGGGCTCCAATAGGGCTTCTTTTCGGTTTTACAGAGCCTTTACAGGGTTTGTCGGGGGGTCTACTAACCTATGGTTTTGGGGTTCCCTTGTCTCTTTAGCTCCTTATTAAGTAGGGATTATCATCACCCCTGGCTCCTTAGCTCCTCCAATATCAGTGTTAGTTTACAAAAAGGTCTGCATGGCAAACCGGGGCAGGGGCCCTGTCCATCAGCCAGAGGCGGATGCTCCTCTCAATCGCCTTCCGGAATGACTTACAGTAGAAGCCAGAAAGTTGGAACATCATTAGCCTCATGCCCTTAGATATTAGAGTAAAGCATACGGAATCCCAGCATGAATCATCCTAAACTCATGTTCCAAGTTTCTGGGGTTCACTATAGAGTTGTCCACTAGCCTAAGGGAACTAACGGTTCATCTTTGAACGCTATATGGGAGTTTACAACAATAGGGGACCCTAAGACAGTATCCTGAATAGTAGGATCCTTATTATACGGACCCCAAATCAGGTACCCTTAATTTTCGGAAGTTCCTTTTGGGGATCTTCATACACCCCGCAGGTGAAAGGAGGCCCTCTTTGGGGTTTAAGGGTTAAGGGTTTAGGGTATAGGGCCTCGTGTAATCCAAGATCATCACATCCGAATAGCTCCAGCCGCATTCGCATTTCGACTGGCGGGGCTGTACCCTAAACTCTCTACTTGGAGGTTCATGGGTAGTTATAATAAGTGGAGTTATAAGTCCCTTAATATGGGTTTTAACTACAGTTATCCTACTTATAACCCTACCCATAACTAACCATGAACCTCCAAGTATGGCCTACTATAAAAGTCCACAATCCCTACACTTTCAAGAACCCTTTGCTCGAAGCCCTGCAATGCTCCACTCTACTATAAGCTACTAGACTATACTGTACTCTACAAGAAGCATATACCATAATAGATATTAGAATATACGGCGAGGTGTTGGCGCAAGGACCCAGTAACCATAGGGGGGCCCTACTATAGTACCCCCAATAGTAGGATCCTTATTATAAGGACACCAAAATCAGGTACCCCTTCTTCTCGGAAACTCTAAACCCTAAACGCTTTATAGAACCCATATAGATCCCTTTAAAGAACCCTGCAAGGATCCCCCTTTAAAGGTACCCCTTCTCGCACCTTCGGCGTCATGCCGGAGCCCAAGAGTTGCAGAATCTCGGAGTACAAAGCTCCGCCACCTGGGTTTAGGGGTTTAGGGTCTAGGGCAAGGCTCCTATTTGTCGGGTATCATGGGGAACTAGAGTAACTAGAGTAACCTTTTTGATTATATAGGGGTTATATCCGGATTATACTACCTCAGAAAGGTTCAGGGTTACCTGCTCTTCTGCCAGGCTCTAGATACGGCTCAAGCCTTGTAGAGGTTTGTAGCGTTTTCCTGTGGCTCCCTCCATCTCCGTGTACAAGGCTTCGGAAGGGTGCGGTTTAGTGTTTCACGGCTAGTTTTCGGAGGAAATTCTGGTATGAAGTACCTAACTTGGGCCGGAAGTAGCTATTGGCTTAGCCAGCGGAGCCTTTGCCCGACTTACTTAATCCGGTGATCGCGAACCCTTATCACACCAAGAGAATTCCAAAGCAAGAGTTGAGGCACCTTACCGGATCCCCAAAGCAAAACGCAACTATGAAACGCCCTCGGGGCCGTCACCCTAAGGAATAACACCGGCAATTATTCAGGCTTCTATGCTGCTCTACTTGGAGGTTCACGGGTAGTTATAATTATAAGTAGGGTTATAAAGCAAGTAACTATACTTGTAACCCTTGTTAGGGGACTTATAACCCCACTTATAGCTACCCATGCACCTCCAAGTACAACCTATCATCCATTGAGCACGCATCGTTTCTTCGTCCTCGTCATTCTCACAGCACTCCCATAGCAGAGAACTCGGGAAAGGGACCTCCTTAAGGTAGACAGTGATCCGTAAACCACATTAAGGGTCCATGCGTGTTCTTAGGTGTACTCCTCAAATAAAGAGCCCCCGAACCCGACACTGTAAACCGTGGGCGCAAAACAGCAGAGCCTAATCGAGGGGCCTTAATATTTACAGCAGGATCTTGGGTAGAATATGGGAAACGTACGCAGGCCCGCCGGAGGATCCAGAAAGTAGAACCCCAAATTGGGGACCCCGTACTACGAACGCGTACTTTATCGGGGCCCCCTTGAAGGATCTACTCCTTGTTGGATCCTTGCAGGGCTGAGTAATGCAACCCTGAACCCTGAAAGCCTAAGCCCCTGAAGAGCCAACCAGAATCTCTAAACGCTAATTGAACCCTAAGTCCAACAGCCTACAACCTGAATTAAAGCCTCATCTCTAGACCCGAACCCCCCGAAACCCCACGGGGTGCGGGGTTAAAGTCTGAAGAATCCACTCAGCATCAGAATCCCTGAACCCTGAAACCCCAAATGCCCTAAACCCAACATCCTAAAACCCTAAACCCTAATCCACAGACTCGAAGCCCGCATCAGTCCAAAATTTCAGGGTTCTGAGGAGACCACTCAGCACCAGAATCAACCCGAACACCTTACACCTTGAAACCCTAAGAACTTTACACCCTAAACCCTTGACCCTCAAGCCCAAAACCACAGGGATCTCAGGAGTACACTCAGAATCAGAATCCCTGAACCCTAAACCTTAAACCCTGACACCCTAAACGTTAGCAACGTTAAGAATAGTAGTAATAATACAGTTGTAACACTGAAGGTAGGAAAAGGAAGAGAAGCAGTACCGGTAAGTTGTCAATTGCTCATAGGGACCCTTAGTGGGGTAGCGGGGAAGGGGGTAGGGTACTATACTATTAAATAGGCCTTTTCAGACCCTGATTACGGGCATTAAGGCCCGCTACCCCTCTCCCCTACCCCCCCACCCTAAACCCTGAAAAAAACCCTAAACCCTGAAACCCTAAGTGCAACATCCTAAAACCCTAAACCCTAAAGCCCTAAACCCTAGGTTTCTGAGGAGTCCACTCCTGAAATCAATCAAAAATCCCCTTACGGTTTATGGTATATTCCTTAATGAAGGGGGTGTGGGTACAGGCACCTACTTGTCCGGTATCATGGGCAACTAAAAGTTAATCTTTCTGGTTATACAGGGATTATATAGGGTATACTACCCAAAAAAAGTTACCTACTCGACTACTAGAAAACCCTTCTTACATTCTAAACCCTAAACTTTAAACCCTCAACCCTAAACCCTCAAACCCTAAACCCCTAGACCCTAGATACGCCCCTAAACCCTAAATCCCCAAAAGACCCTTAAACCCCTAAACGCTACCTTAAGCCGGAATAACCTACCCTTTTTAAGGACTTATATAAGGAAATCATAATAAGGGACCCTAAAAAGGTAGGTTATTCCGGCTTAAGGTACTGTAAACCCTGAGGAGTCCACTCAGCATCAGAATCGTAAAGGCGTAGCCCTGATTGGGGTCGTAGAGCACCAGGAAGGCCACAAAGGCCAGGTTCCTTGGGGACAAAGGCTAGGTTTTTTTTTGGGGGGATCTGTAGGGTTTTTAGCATTTTTGGCTGTTAGAGGTTTAAGTATTTTCTTTTCCAGGGTTTAGGGTTTAGTCTTTTTTTTGTAGGGTTTAGGGTTCAGGGGTTTAGGGTAGGACGAAGGATTGCGGTTCAGGGTTTTTGGGGTTTGGGGATTACGGTTTAGAGGGCTTGTTTGGATGTGCAGGGTTCCTTTATGGGTTCTGCTAAGGGATCTACAAAGGTCCTTTAAGGCTCCTGGAAGGGATCTACAAGGGGCCCCTAAAAAAGAACTATAAGGACTCCATTTTTACGGTATACGGCTTCCTTTGTAAGGAATTGCTTTTTGAGGGATTCTAGCGGCTCTTCGGGGGTGCCTTTTGAATGCATTGGACCCTAAACCCTAAACCTATTCGGTTTAGGGTTCTATTACTCTTCTTGGAACTACTTTAAGATTTTCGATCTTGAGTTGAGTTGGAGCTCCTGCAGGCGTTTGGAAAGGGTTCCTTAAGAGATCCATAAAGGTTCTAAAAGGGTATAGGGTTTAGGGTGCTTGGGCATACTACAGTAAGACCGGATCAGGGTTCCTTGTGCTTTAGAGAGCGGGCTCTTACAAGGGGTTTAGAGTTTAGGATTCCTTCAAGAGTTCCTTTCGGGGTGCTTGCGAAGGTTCAGGATTTAGGGTTACTAACCTGCAGGAGCCCGCCCCCTCAGGTGGCAAGGCTTTAAATCTTTAAACTCTAGACAAAAAAACTTTCTTTGCGATTTCCTCACAATCTGAGCTGCTGCAGCAGCCCGCCCCCTCAGGCGAGAAGGACCTGCCTGGACGGAAATACAAGGCCCTGCATCTTGCACAGATTCAAAACGAATGTTGAAACAAGGCACTCTGCAAAAAATATTGCTGGCAACACATATGCATGACACTGACATGAACAATAACACAAACCCACAGCCGGGAAGCGACCAGGGGCGGTGGACGCTGGCAGCCCGGCGAGTCAAGTGGCAACCCGGCGTACTCCATGACCAAGACCGCGATGCCCTCGGATTGGTCATGGAACGCGTCCATGAGCGCCACCACGTTCGGGTGGTTGAGGGTTGCCAACACTTCAGCTTCGCGCTCGGCCGCCTGTCGAAACCCTGGCGGCACCTGACACTGCGATGCTGAGCATGGTGAGTGTCCATATCTGAACAGTAAGATTTGGCCTGCCTTCTTGATGGCCACACGCACGTTGTCCATCTTTCCCAAGACCACAGAGCCCATCGCCCCAGAGCCCAGTTCACGAAGGGCGCGGAGGTTGAAGGGCCAGGGGCGGTTGGGAAGTGGAGGCGGGGGTGGGACCATGTCCCCGTGCGCTGGGCACCAGGGAGGCTGTGGCATTGGCAAGCCCGGGCCGCACACAGCGATGCCCTGCAGAATTTTTCAAAATCAAAACCAAAGATACTTCGACTGTTCTAGACTTAGGCGATATGTAAAGTCCAGCCAGCTGCACCTCTCGTTTCCCAGGGCCTTGTGGCAATTCAGTCTTGGAATCCTGCAGGAGCCAGCAACACAGGGGTGCCAACCAACATCAGAACCTCAAGCTACTGCCGCAAAAGCCTCAGGCAAGCTTCAAAGCCTAGAACTGGAATCCTACAAAAACCATGAGTTTTCTAGGTTTTCAAGCCTTTTAAACCTGGCTCCAGCCAGGCTGCTCTCCACAGGCAAGGATCTAGGCACTGGAATCCTGCAAAAACCATGTGTCGCCACCACAGAGCACCCAATGCTGGTTCAAGGGCTTTCAAAGCATTCGCTGGCTGCTTATTCAACTTGCACATGCACATGCACACAGAAACAGGCACACCGAGCTCAAGCATTCAAGGCAAGGGGGGGCAGAGGGCAGGGGGCGGGTCAAGTCTAAACACACGGTCCACTCGCACACATGTCTTAAATCTGGTTCATTCAATTGGCACAGCCTTCAACTGGCACACACACACACACATCTCACAGAAAGGCAACTGCAGGCTCAAATCTTCATTCAATTTACTTAATTCTCCTTGCCTGCCCAAGGCACCATCTCACAGAAAGGCAGGCTCCAAGCTACAATTTACTCAAGCCTCCTCGCCTGGCCCAGACCGGTAACTGGAGGCCAAAATCTTCAATCTACTTGGAGGCTCCAACCTTCAATTTACTCAAACCAAACCTTGTCGCTGGCCCCAGGCAGGCAATCTTCAATTTACTCAAACCTCCTCGCTGGCCCAGACAGGCAACTGGAGGCCCAAATCTTCAATTTACTTAAACCTCCTCGGCTGGCCCAGAAAGGCAATTGGAGGCCCAAATCTTCAACTATTGCCCAAACCTCGTCTGTCGTAGAAGCAAATGGACACAAGAGCAAGAGCATGCACAAGGGCCAAAGCCATCATTTCGGTGGCACGACTTTCCTTTCGCACTCACACGGACTCCAAGCACCAGCAACTACCTGCATTCACAAGCTGCACTTGCACAGATACTATCTATTTGCACACAGAGGCCTTGCCTCCAGAGCATGCACACACACACACAAGGCTTCTGGCAATACTTGCTTCAATCTTGTCGGCTGCAGCTGCACAAGCAAAGGGACAGAAGAACGAGAGCATGCACAAGGGCACAAGCCATCATGTCGGCGGCACTGGTCACTACTTTCCTTTCGCACTCACACGGACCCCTCCAAGCACCAACAACTACATTCATTCACAGGCTGCACACAGTTTTCCACACAGAGGCAGCAGGAGCAGCAGCAGCAGGAGGAGCAGAGAGAGCAGAAGCAGGATCAGGAGGGGAGCAGGAGCAGGAGGGAGCAGGAGCAGCAGGAGCAGCAGCAGGAGCAGGAGCAGGAGGGGAGCAGGAGCAGGAGCAGGAGCTGGAGCAGGAGCACCAGCAGCACGAACAGTTGAATTGCACTGATCAACTGCACACACAAGGCTTGCTGTAAAAGCACACACACATTGCATGACTGAGCACAGACAGATACATTACATCACTGCAATAGCTTTCTGCACACAGAAGCCTTGCTCCAAGAGCCCACATACACAAGGCTCTCTGCACATACAAGGCAGCACAGTTTACACCCACCCATCACCCACTTCCCCCCTGAGCCCAATTTTCAACCCGACCACCCCCCCTCCTCCCCTTTCCTGTCACTTTTGCACGAATTTTTGCATAAAAACCAAAAAAATTTCTCGCTTCGCGAACCCAGCAAAGACTTTCAATTTTCCACACACATGCAATGGCTTTTGAGTCATGCACGAATACAACGGCCTCCGGCCGGCCTTCGGCCGGCCGGAGGCCGGCTTTCTTTTTATAAAAAAAGACAAGTACCAAGGGTATTTCGACGAAAATCGCGTTTTTTCAATTTTGATAGGGATGCTCAACATCCACTTTCTTCATTAGCAAAACCTATATGTTTGAATGCGAAAATCCAAGATTTTTGCATTCCCTAATGGATCTCGAAAAAGTGCCAAAAATGCACTTTTTTGGCACCATCTTTTGTGCAATTTTTGATAGGTAGGGCCCAAAAACTTCCGACCTCAATTTTTTCCTTAGCAAGCCCCTTACTTTTTCATACGAATTTGGCGCTTTTGGCTCTTTGGATGGAAATGCAGTTTTTGGGCACTGACACCCCTCCCCTTCAGACCCCATTTTTTTTGAGCCTCCAGACCCCTGTCTCGCCCCTTTCCTCCCACTCTGTCCATCGTCCTTTCCGGGACACTCCTCAGCCTTCCCCAGTCAAAACCGAGTATTTTGCAATTGACTTTCGTCACCCAGAACCGAATATCAATTTGGGTAGTTTACAGTGTGCCACTTGGAGAAGCTCACAATCGGCATTAAATCCTGCAACTTATTAAACTCCCCATGAGGGACCCTAAAACCTCAAGTTCCTTTGGCTTCAGGGTTCGGGGTTCTTGACGTTCTTCTTCGGGTTTGGGCTTGGGACTAGTGTTGGTTTACGGCTAGCCACTTTCTGCTGAATACAGAGTATAAGAACCCAAATCACTCGCAGCACGAGCATTCCTTGCAGAGCCACTTGAGATAGTTGTATTGTACTAGCTCCTGCAAGCCCTGTTCTAATCATCAACGCACCTCTTCTAGCCTGGCCCGAAACCTAAACCCCTTAACACGAGCTAAACTTGGCAAGTTCTGACATTGTGCAATTTCCGGGTCTGAACATTTAGACAAGCTTTCTGGGGTTTGAAATAGCAGGCAGGATTTCCGAAGATCTCAGGACTCCATGTGCCTCGCAGTTGTAGAAATGCTCTGGCTGCCATGGCTGCCTGCTCGAATGGTCAACTAAGCCCTGCCCTTAGACGATAGGTCGTCCGTTGTGACAGGCGAATCTGGCCGAAGGCATCTCCCAGAGTGATGGCTGCGAGAGCATGCCGCATATGCTTTTGTAGAAGTTTTCTCTCAGAGACTGCCTTCCAAAAAGAGTCCATGCCTGCTGCGGCCAGGCCAAGGACTGGAAGACGATACTCACAAGCCAAAAAGAAGTAGCCCATAGCGAAACTACTTGGAGGTTCATGGGTACTTACAAGTGGGGCTATAAGTCCCAATTGCGGGTTATAACTATAGTTATCCTACTTATAACGCTACTTATAACTAACCTCCCTAGACTGAAAATCCCAAACCCTGCAACCCTGCGATTCCCCCGGCCCTGAACCCTCTGGAGGCCTAACATACACAGGGGCCTGAACATGTACCGTCATGTTTTGAGATATACTACTGCATATATGTACGTGTATATGTATATATATATATATATATATGTGTATGTACAGTTAAATACATATGCACATGGAACTATCAGGATGATAATTTCGTTCTTCCTTCTCGTTCTCTTCTAGTTGTTGCTTGGGGGTGCCTGGGGTCCAATCTCGCGTGGTTTCGGGTTACTGTATGTAAGGGATCCTGTTTTGGAGTTTAGGGTTTACTGTTCCTAGATGGGCAATACTCTAAATTAGGGCCCTTTTTGGGGTCCAAAGGATCCGAAAAGGACCCTAATTAAGATAACTACCGATAAGGATTTAAGGATTTGGGGCTGCCTGCTCTGTGACAGCAGCGGCTTTCCGCCCACCGACGACCCTTTCCCAGCAAGGCGCGTGAAGATTGCGAGGTACTTCTTCCTCGGTGGTTCCGAGAAACTCCAAAACCAGTTGATCGAGAAACATACCTTAAAACATAACTGAAGGGCTTGGAGTCTTTTGGTTGGCCGTTTTGCCTCGGTCCCCGAGCTTCTGACAAGTCACATGTTGACGGGTGTAGAATCTAGAATCTAAGAAGTATTCTCGAGAATCTGGTTCAGGCGGTAGGATTGGAGATGGACTTGGAGTTTGCGATCGGCTTGATGGAGTGTGAGCTCTTCAGACTCGGGCGGTCCTGAGGATTTACTAGCTCATGGTTGGGATAGGATTAAAAATTCAATTTTGTATTCATTATTGGGTTTAAATACCCATAAAAATGTGAAATTTTACACAACTATGACAAAGTTTAGGGTGTAGGATGTTGGGATACCTCTGAGCCATGCCTGACCTGCTTGACTCAGATGCACCGGGCTGTGCTTAGCAGCCCACCGGCTCGTTTCAATATCCAATCGAGATCCCCCTCAGCCGCACCTAGACTTACCTTCGAGGAAAATCATCCCACAAGCCTGAAACGATTCCTTCCCTAAACCCTAAACCCTTCCCAAGCCTCCCACTCCCACCCTTGTGCAACACTGGCGCCAAAAGGCGAAGACTGCAGCCCTGCCGAAACCCTCCAGGTGTCCCTGGCCTGGAACCCGACACAAGCCGTCCCTTAATTAAGGAAAATTCCTTAAATCACTATATTTAAAATTTTCAGGAATATTCCTTAATTTAGGGATATTGGAGTCTCTGGGTGCCTGGAAGCTCCAGGAACCTCCTACTTAAGGAATAGACCTGGCCTGAAGTAGAACACAGAAGATCCTGAACATAGTATCAGCTCTGGCAAGCTTGGCATTGACAGGCTTCGAAGCATATCTGTAGATAAAGTCCTTTTAAGCCCAAACAGGGCTCATGTAAAGTGTCCCAAAGGCCTACCTCGTCTAATGCAGGGCCTAAATAGCTACCAATACTATTGGGCGGGCTCCTTATCATAACTGCGGTATAATGATTCCCAAAACACTATTCTAATTATTAAGGCCCCTACATTATAGTACCCTTATGGATCCCTAACTTCTAGACCCCCTTTAAAGGAACCCTATTCTAACTGTTAAGGCCCCTGTAGTATTACTGGCCCCTGCAGTCTCTGGGGCCCAGCCTAAACCCTAAACCTTAAACCCTAAACCCTAAACCTTAAACCCTAAACCTTAAACCCTAAGCCCCTAACGATTCATCCCGGCGGCTGGCGCGGAAGCAGGATCGTCAGGCAGCTGTTCATCCAAAGATCGGTGATTTCCTGCGAGATTCGAAGCCCTAAATAGGGTTCCTGTAAAGGGGTCTATAAGGTTTACAATAAGGGATCTATAAGGGTACCATAATATAGATTTCCTGCGAATTTCGAAGTCGCACTTGGTGAGTTTGTATTGCGACGCCTTGGAGAATCCAAGCCCACACCCTACATCCGAAAGGCTACAACGTATAAGGTGGAGCCACTTTTTGGACCGCTTGCAAGCATCGTACTTCAGTCTTTGCCTGTTTTCAGGCTGAGTTCGAAATTGTTCGAAACTCTAAACCCTAACCTGTGCAGGATCTATGCACAACAGCGCCACGATGTCCTTCCTCGTCGAGAAGCTTCTAAACCGCAAGACTGTCTCCAAGGCTCCTAGCCTCCGAGCAATGCCCTACGGGTCCAAGCCATTTTGTATATACTCTGGCCCTAAAGTACCAATTCTATAAGCAAGGACTTTGAATTCTAAGATATACTGTTGGGGCAGCGGACCCTTAGGAGTATTCAAACAAACAAGACAGTTAGGTCGACGTCGTTAGGTAGAGGTTGTGAAACGCAGCCCGGTGGGCGGCTCTGTGCAAGGGGGGCCAAGCTCCGGCAGACCGGAGCCATATGGCTGTAGGGTTCAGGGTTTTAGGTTCAGAGGGTGCAGAGGTTTTAGGGTTGAGACGGTTTAGAGTTTAGAGGGTATATAGGGGGTCTAGGGTTTATTGTGTTGAGCTCTGCAGCGCCCCTAAAAGTGCCGCCAACATGTGCGTTCGAAAGCACTTCGTGCAATAAAACTGAAGGGAGCATCCAACACACTGCTAGCATAGCAGACGGGTGGAGTCCCGGGATGGCTCTGACGTTTGGCTCCCAACGGACATCTTCGGTATGATGCGCCCGTCTTCAGAAAATGGGGACCCAATACAAATCCTAAATGCTTGGGATCGCTAGTCCGACGAGAGCACGTGTGTAACCGGATGACTCCCTGGTTCTTAGTACGGAATCTAGGTGGGGCGTTTAGAGCTTTGAAAAATATTAGTAAATAAGGTCCTCTTAAGCCCAATGAGGGAAAATATAAAATGTCCCAAAGCCCTCCCTAGGGAATATATAGGGGAAGTTGTAGGGACTAGAAGGGACCTCGAGGGACCTACGGCGTACGGTTGAAACCATGGGCCCTTATCCCTGGGATCCTTAGAATAACTATATACCGTATGTAGACTCTTGAGGGTCCCTAGAACTCCCTGAAAACGTCCTAAGGGTCCATACTCGGGGCCCATACTTCCAACCTTAGAACTATGCTAGCGATTTAGGGTTTCGGGTTTTTCCATTCCCTCATTCCCTACTACGAACCAGGGAGATGTGGACCTGCTAGGGCCACTGTGGTGACTCTCTGCAAGATGTGGCTATATGGATATCTACGTCCAGGTGTATCTGCACAATAGGTACCCATAATGTACTGCACATGGTTTTACGATGCTGTAGACCGATGGTAACATCTGAAAGGCGCAGCAGGGATTACTGGGATAGCTGAGATGTAGCCAGCATAATTAGGTCACGTGTGCCTGGCACTCTGTCGCAAAGCACCCAGCTCCTGAAGCATGACGGCCTGGCTGCGGCCTTCACACTTTTTCGCAGCCAACAATAGAATGCCGGAGAAGTTCATGCGCTGAAGCACCTGGTGGTCGAAATCTCAAAGCTTGAGCTGTCTCCAACACCGTGAAGCCCCGAAGAGCTCACGCCAATAATAATTACTATAGGGGCCTAAAGAATAGGGTTTTTGGGCCCACTATACCATAATGTATTTAAGCCAATTTTTTACAGGCCCTTCGCTCCCGTCATTGGAAAGCCACTTCTCGTACTCGAAATGTTATGCTGAAGTAGTTGGGGGATTTCTTATATGTAGGAACCTGATTAAGACACCCTGGGCGTATCACCCCCCAAATAGTAGGATTCATATAAGGAACCCTAGCAAAGGCCCAAGGTTTCTTAATAAGGTTCCTGCATTAGCAGACATGAATCGTAAACGCCATAGCGGAAAGCCCAGTTATGGTTCGGTACCTGTCGCAGGTTGTGAAGCTTGCGAGACTTCGTCTGCCAACGACCTGGTAGAAGTCCTGAATGGACGGAAAGCACCTCGTCTGTTGTGTCCATGGGCTTCCAGTTTTTTTTTTGGTGGGGGGGAGGGGGGTTTAGGGTTTCATAGGTCAGGTCATGGGAGCAGGGCTTAGGGCTTCGGGATTTGGGCTTGTACTTCGTGAGTAGGATTTAGATCATAGCCCCACAGGCTGTAGTTGCCGCCCATCGAGCACACTCCTCTGATTACAGCAAGCAGCGCTAAATCGACCGAGAGACGGCCAACACGAAGCTCACATCATGGAGTCCATCTTGCTCTGCACGCTCCCGAAGTAGATCTGCCAGAAGGCTGAGTAGCTCTGCCCTTGGCATCGTGCTCATCAAAAGGCGCTGCTTCTTGTCGGGCTTCGGGTCATCGTGCTGATAGTGGCAAAAGCCACAGGCCGAACCTCTCTGGCAGTGCCCCCGCCTTGCGAGGCAAACGCATGGTTTGCTGCACAAGGCCGGGTGTCCGACACTGCCCCGACTTGCGACCGGTGCATCGAAGACCCTTGCGCTCTGCCCTTGCTGCAGAGTGCGAAGATGACGATATGCCCACACGTCCTGAAGAAGAGGCTCCGGGCTGGTCGACATCCGGGTAGGAGAGAGGCTACGGGCGCGAGCACGAGGATCTGCATCCTTGCCATCCATCACGTCAATGAAGGTACGGCGGTACGCAAGTTGAGCTAGGGCCATGGCTCTGATTTGGTTGATTCAGACCGGCTTTTCCACGATGTGGTGGCTGAACAGCTTTCAGCGGGCTGCGGATAGCAAGGGTTGCGAGAGTGTTCAGGGAGCTAAAGTCCCTAAACTCTAAACCTTGCATGAATCCCAAGCCTCAGACTTGTGGGTGCTATGCGCTAGCCTTGTAGGAATTCTACACCGGCAAGTAGCGATGGAAGCTGCCAAGCTAAATTCAGAAGCTCCATCCTTGGTCGCAGGCCTTCCGCCTTGAAGAGGAGCAGTAGCATAGCAGTGGTAGTAGTAGTAGTGGTAGTTGTCGTCGTCGTCGTAGTCGTCGTGGTAGGCAAGGGTACGGGTCGGGGAAGGGGTGGGGGTCGGGGTGGTAGGGGAGGGGGAGGGGTGGGGTAGGGGTAGGGGTAGGGGAGGCGTGCTGGTGCTGGCCGTTGTAGTCTTCGTCGTAGTAGTGCTGGTCGTCGCCGTAGAAGTAGGAGCAACGGGCGGCAGGAATAATAGCGGTGGGAGGAATGTGTCTTTCAAGATTATGCTGTGGAACTGGTCCTCATTACACCGACTTTGACTGACGGGATTGCTGCAGCTATCACTGCCCAGCACGCAGACTCGAACAACACCTGTGGTGCTTCAAACCTCAACCTGCAGTTGCTATAAACCCTGCGAGTGTTAAATCCAATCCCCAATAATCGAAACCCATGTAGCTTGACTCCTAAAGCCCCGCAATTGAAAACGGTGAACTCCCGGCTGCTGAGCCCTGACTTGCCCCAAACAGTCTCAAAGTGCTCGAACTACCCTTCATGCTCCTCTATTGATCTGAGATGGTAGCCTCAAACACCCTCTTAACCTATCTGGCCTTTGCCGAACCCTCTAAAACCCACTCCCTGAAACCTGATCCCGCCTTTGTGGGCCTTCTGAACCCTGAATCCGAAAGCCTTTTAGCTGGCCTTTTGCTTCTTTCCGTTGATGGTGTCCGCTTGTGTTTTGGCTTTCCAGGTCATTCGCCGCGATTTCTCCTCGCTGGCCTGCGGCTCGGTTGCTCGCCCAATGCTGGGATTCAGGACGGAAGGAACATAGGAGGCCTGAAGACTGAACGTAGGACTTTAGGGTAAGATACTCTGAATATAAGCAGGAGCCCTAGAGAATCCTCTTGGCACTTCTTTGAGATTCTGCATTACCTGTTAACCTTGGTCCAAGGGTGGGTCGCCATCTTCATTTTCATAGCACGCATTGGGGGACCCTCCTTCCAGTACATGGTGCAAACGGACCAGCGCTTAGAGTGTGTGGTGGTTCCGGGCTTGATGCTAAACTCGTAGCGTTATGTCAATCTCTGGTGCTAACTCTAGTCAGATCGCAAGTGGCTCAACATAGGCAAAATATAGGAAGAAAATGGGAATCCTGGTTTTTCGGAAATACAAACAAAGTAGAGGAAAACTAGGACCTGCCCGCACTCCCCGCACCACTTTCCACCCTGCGGTCCAGTGTTATTTGTCTATTTTTCCTAGGGTTTCCTACATTTCCTATGTTTCTCATGTTTTCTCTTGTTTTATTCCTATTTTCTGCGATTTTTTTTTCTATTTTTCTCGTATTGAATTTCCTTTCCTATTCTTTCCTATTGCTTGCCTATTTCCTACAAACCCATAAGTCCTATGTATTTCCTAATTTTCTCCTATTTCTGGAAATCATGGTTTCTCTAGACTTAGCACCCCTGAGATTGACATAATCGTAGAGTAGGTAAGGCACGGGATAATGCAACATGTTGGGCACTTGCGATGAAGGTTGACATTGAATGAATTCTTCACTAGCAAAGCAGGCAGAACTGGAGGCTTTTACTCCCCCAAACCCTGAACCCTCAGCTCTTAATCCGCAAGCTCCGATCATCGCTCATTCAGGAAACATCGCCTTCGAGGGGGCCGACAGGGAACTCCGAGGCTATCCGCTCTGAGGCAGAGTTGGGATACTGCAAAAGTCAACGGCATTCGCATCACGAAGAAGTAACAGCCACGATGCCTCCCTCTCAATCTTCTGCCGATCCTCATCTCGCTTCCTCAGTGCAGATTGCGTTAGCCTAGACCCAATCCGGCGCAATGACTTGCGGTTCAAGGACACCAGGACCTCTAACATGCACAGTATACTGCACGTGTAGTCTGCCTGTCTTCGATATGTACATATATATATACACACATAAATATATGTGCGTACACATACACATACACATATGCACATATACATATTTAGCAAATATATATTTCCAGAAACATCCATGTACGTAAGTATCGAATGCGTGCATGTCTCCACAGGTGTATGTACATTACATACTCACAGAAAACAACATTGTATGCACCAGTACATATACATGCCAGAGCAATTCGGTTGACACACCACCCGAACTCAAGCCAGAGTCGATAAGACCAGAGCCGGAATAATGAGGAATACTCCCCTCGGGAGCCTCTTGAATGCCTTTATAAGTGTGTGTGTGTATATATATATATATATATATATATATATATGAGCTCATATGCATATGGGCACATGGAGCCTTAGGGTGCTTGGGGCTCCTGCAAATGATTTCCTGGTCATGTTCCTTTGGAAGGGCGGGTTGTGTGGGTTACAGGGGGTTACAGGTAGGTCTCACGGAGTACAGGGTTTGGGAGTTTACGGTACCCCTCTGAGTCTAGAGAAAGTACACCTTTGGTTATCCAACGTGCTGGATAGGATGCATTGGCAGGGAATCAGATAGTTCCAGCAGGATAGCTACAACTGAAGATCCAGAAAGGCCCCAGGGGTGCGGATTTACTTCATCGGTCATGCGGACGGTAGCAAAGCGAGACACTTGGTGATTAAGGGATTAGGGTCTTCACGTGCAGCCGAAAAATGGTCATTTTGTTAGGATACACCATCCAAACCCAAACCAATGGAGTTGGAGAGCAGAAAAAAGGGCCCAACTATTCTGATCTTGCTCGTGAGTGTCACGGAGCCCAAGACCCCCAAACCGTCGCATTCACCGTCGTCAGCATAAGCAGCAACATCACCACCACCATCACCACTAGCATCATCGTCAGCATGAACACCAACATCCTCATCATACGTCGTCATCATCATCATCATCATCGCCACCACCACCAGCATCATCATCCTCGCCACCACCGTCAGCAGCATCATTGAAGAGTCGTCACATGCATTCTCCGTGTTCATTGCGTAGAACTTCCGACACGTAGTCTGGCAAAGAATTCCAGCTTTTACAGGACTAGACAAGGAACTGCAATCCAGTTGGAGAAAGATGCGTGGGTTAAAGGAGGAGTGACCACTGGGAGTATATACATTTCCTGAAACAGATATCTTAACCAAAAGCGAACATACCTTGCTGCCTTACCTGCGTATTGGGAGACAAGTCTTGAAGGCTCAGGCAGCAGCTATCTTGCTTCGGGTTTTTGGTTCTTTGAAGGGATCCATAGGGGTTCCTTTCAAGGGATCCATAAGGGATCTATAGGGTTTAGGGTTTGTCATCTATCAGGGCGGCGATGCCAAGGATGCATCCGAAAAACTGAACCCCTCCCCACAACTTACCCAGCTCCTAGGCTCGAAATCTGCTACCAAGGCTTTCACCAGGATTGAACATGGGTTTACTTGGAGGTTCATGGGTAGTTACAAGAGAGGTTATAAGTCCCTCAATATGGGTTGTAGCTATAGTTATCCTACTTATCAGCCTACTTATAACTAGCCACGAACCTCCAAGTAGGGATTGGAGTTCAGGCTTTAGTTAGGAGCTAGGAGTATGCGCCCTTGTGTTCTGAACCTCAGTGGCTGGGAGTCAGGTGAAGCTCGGGCACACCGGCTACCCGCAGAACAACTGTAATTAAGGCTGGAAGCCTGTCGGTACTGGCGGTGTAGACTTCGAATTTCATGATGCCAAGCATGCACAGCTCTTGTGCGTGGCAGGCAACCCAGCTTCGAAACACATCCACAGTGCCACTGCGGATCACACCAGACTCATTCAGAAACTCAAATCTGAAACTCTCCTTGCTGGCAGGCAGCTTTCGTATATCTCTCTCCATCAAGATTTTCCTGTTGTACACATAACCTGGCAACACAGCTGGGGCTTGATATGCCTAGGTCCAGAGGCAGTACGATAGCACCGGACGCTGACAGAAGCCCAACACCCCTGTAATAAGAACACGATACTAGAAGTCACAGGAGGCCTTGGGGCGTCTAAGGAAAACTCAGTAATTGACAGCCAAGCAAAAGGAAGCTTTTTCTTCCTTGAACATAATTCATTCATTCAGGTGTTGCGGTGTTGGGCTCTCAGAATGCTTGGTCTCAAGGCCTCTGGGGGCACAGCATCGACCATCCAACACTCCGATCCATGTACCCAAAGAGTATATACTTTCGCCTTACAGTACTCTCTAAACCCTACACCCGAACTCCCTTTATGGCGGCCATTCAGAAAGCTAATCTCGAAGAGGTTCAAGAGCTTCAATCACACCCGGTTTTCATAGCTCCATCATCCCTAAACCCTAAATCCCTAAGTCCTAGACCCTGAACCACGCTCCAACATCTCCAGGCCCAGATTTTGGACACAGCATCTCGGATTTAGCAAGTGAACGGCTGAGCCCAATCAGAATATACGAGGTTTTGGGGAATACCCATGGTTGCCACAAATAGAGTCAGGAACCCTGAGGAAGAGGTTTGTAACAATGTAAGTGAGACATACTGTGGTAGAATGCAGCATTGTCCTTTAGGGTTCCTACCATACGTAAAATACAATATAGACCGCCCCGAAGCCCGGTCTAAACGTTTAGGTTCAGACCTCCAGTCCAAGTTCGGGCATAACTAGTTTAAACCGGGCTTTGATCTTATGGTAGACTTCTAGTAAGGAACCCAGGAATGGTATCACTGAATTATTCAGGCTGTAAAAATTCCATATTGCATCCCTGAGCCCTAAACCTTGAATGGTAATGCGTTACAAGGGTAGTTCTCTAGATTAGGCCGTTTAGGGTCCTTTTTATACGGGTGCCGTACTTCTTTTCGGACCTCAAAAAGGGCCCTAATTTAGAGAACTGCGCGCTTTGCAAAGGAAGCCAAAGCCAGCCGAGATCCGGGCTTTCCAGACTCGGGCACAGTGCGCAGGGAATCAGCAAAATGAGCCCCATGATGTTGCCGGCATGAAACCTCTGCAACAGGGACGGAAAGAGCGAAAGGGCTTCGGAAGTTTGGGGTTCAAGATAGTTTAGGGGTTTAGTGCTTAGGGTTTAGGGGTTTAGAGTTTCGGATTATTTATGGTCCCCATGGGTTTTTGCGTTAGGCTGCTTAGGGGTTTGGGGTTCAGGCTGCGATGTGCCAGGCTCTCGTGCGCTCGATGTTTCCTAAGGGCCCACAAAGGGCAGGTAATATAGGGGCAAATCAGAATATGGTTTTGGGGCCGGGGCCTACTATACTATAAGTAGAATAAGGAACCCCCCACCTATAGTAGAAATCTGCATGGCCGGATCTGCCCCTTTGACAAACCCAGAAACTCCAATATCCCTTACTTAAGGAATATACCTCAACTCATATTAAGGGATCCTACAATAATTTAAAGTATATTCATTCCTTCATTAAGGGATATTGGAGTCTCGGGGAACTTACAAAGCATCGTTGCACATCCAGACTTTCAGCCGCCCTCACGGCTCGGGGCCGCATGCTGGTGTCTGCGACAGGATTCTGCAAGGGCCAACAGATTTCAAGGGCTTTTTGGTGCAGCCTACTAGTAAATTCGGGGGGTTGAGGAATTAGAACAGGGCCCCCCCAACAAAAAAAACAGTTTGGGTAATTATTGAGGCCCCTGAGCAGGAAGACAAGGCTTCAGGACGGCAAACCGCCCGCAGACGCACATGTTCATGCTGCAGCTATTGGACTAGACCTAAGAGTAGCACAGGAATAAAAAAAAACGGGTGCCCTTTTTGGTTTACAGGGGGGGTATAAGGGAAAGAAAGGGAATAAGGGTCTACTCTGGGTCCTAGTGGAGGAACCGAATCCTCGTTCCGTACACCCAGACCGAATCTTAAGCTCGAATAGCAACGCAGCTGGCTGTTCATATCCCTAAACTTTAAACCCTGATCCCCTAAACCCTAAACCCCTAAGCCCTAAACCCCCTAAACCTTAAAACCCTTCAGGCTTTAAGGGTTCGACACACCGGAACTCTACGAGGGGGGGATGCTGCATACAGACACAGGTTCCGCAGAATCCCGGAAGGCTCCGGTAAAGCCCTACACCCTGAAACCCTAAACGATAAATTCCCAAACATAAAACCCCTGAATTCCTAAACATTAAAACCCTAAATCCTAGACCCGTAAACCCTGAAAACTCTGAGTGAGACCGGGGTTTTATTGGTAGAGGAGCTTCAGCACGTAGCACATGTACTCCCAGTCGCTGACATGGTCGTACTTCGGATGCCACATGTCCTGGGGAACCCAACAGCCCTGACGGTCGAGGGTTTACGGTCTAGGTCTGACACACGTTATTGGCGTGCATTGAAACTGTTTCGTAGGCATTCTAGAAGCTGTTTGATTAAAGAACCTGCTTTCAACTGCTAAACGGTCCTGAAAGTGGCTGGGGTCTACTGGGTGATCCATGCAGCCAAACAGCTCTAGTTTAAGGTAATCTAGGGGCCTTAATAATTCTAATAGGGTTTTGGGGCCCAGTATATTATAACTATACTAAGGAACCCCCCCAAAATAGTTTCGGTATTTATTTGGGCCCTCATAGTATAGACTCCTCAATTGAATGGCGTAGGGGATGAGCCTCCTTGGAAACTCAAACCTCCCTGGTCCCTCGCGCCGCCAGACATCTTCAGGGTCTGGTTTAGGGTACTATTTAGGGTCTAGGGTCAGGGTACTTTTGGGGTTTAGGGTACTTTTGGGGTTTAGGGTGTGGAGTGTAGGGTTAAGAGTTGAGGCTTCAAGGAGCAGGGCATTACCTGCCTTGCTCTACATGCGAACCATGAGAGGCGAATATCCTTTAACTACAAAGCACACCTCAGAATCAGAATACTAAGCCCCCTTGAACCCTAAACCCTAAGCCCCCTACAATGGCCCTACAATTTTTGGCAAGTTCCTTATACCTACCAGAACATTCGTTAGAACTCACCTGCTCGACAGGTCCCTCAAAGCTTGCACATGGGGACAGGCCATAGGGGGCCCTAGCAATCAGAACAGGGGTTTGTTTGCATATTCCAATATGGTTATAAAGGGACTTTGTTCTTGCCCCAGTGCTATCCCCAAACCTGACTTGCAGCCGGTATGCGCACAGAATCCGCTGCAGCCGCGGCCGAAAGAAGAACAGCCGAGCATCTACAAACCTTCAGAGCATCGAAAAGAAACCAACAGTGGGACCGTGGACATCGGATGAATTCTGCACCCTAAACCCTAAACCCTAAACCGTTGCCTTCTTAAGCAGGCTGGGGATGAGTTGATGTCTCGGCCCGCCCGTTTCGGGCGCTCAAAACAGAACACCTCCACTCATTTCTCACCCTGCACGATGATTATGAGTCTCTGCTTCGACTTCTTCCTCTTTTGAGGCTTAGGGTCTAGGGTTTTCAAGTCTTAACTGGATGGTAACTGCAGGGCCAGTACGTAGGTTTCTGACCATGAAGAAGCAAGTTACATTTGCTCAGTCTTGACAAAAGATGGGTCCGAGGTACACCCAAGAGGCCTTGTGATTATCATCGCAAGAAGGCCCCCTAAACCCTAAACCCAGACCCTTCATGACTTGAAGGTCTATTCCCGACCCAGAGAGCCCAATACCCCTTAATTAAAGAATATACCTTAAATCATAGGAGGGTTCATATTATGATTTAAGCTACATTCCTTGGTTAAGGAGTATTGGGCTCTCTGGGGAGTTACAAACCCTAAACCCTAAACCCTAAACAGGGTGCTCAAAGGGGCTTCGGGTCTTCGACTTGGGCTTGAGGCGAGGCATGGGTTGCGGGTTTAGGGGGCAAATTTGGGTTCAATATGGGAGTTTCCGAAGATAGGGGTACCTTTAAAGGGATCCTGCAAGGGTTCCTGAAAGGGCTCTTTATGGGTTCTATAAAGGGTTTAAGAGTTTCCGAGAAACAGGGGACCCTAATAGCACCCTAACTTGTAGGATCCTTATTAAAAGGACCCCCAAAATACGGTCTCCCCTAATTTTCGGAAACTCCCAAAAGGCTCAATCTCCAAGAATCCAAGGATGGGTTGGGTTTAGGCTTCGGGCTTTCCGAGCAGGTGGCTGGAAGTCAGCCAGAATTTCTGCGCCGACCTCGCTGTACCACAGCTCCTCCTGAGCGGCAGGAGCCATGGGATGGCACGTTTCAGCGCTTAGGGCCTAGGGCACCTTGTCCCTTTAAAGGGATCTATAGGGATTCTATAAGGGTATAGGGTTTCGGGCCTACTTGGAGGTTCATTGTTAGTTATAAGTAGGGTTATAAGTAGGACAACTACAGGTATAACTCACATTGAGCGACTTTTAGTCCCTTAATCTTATAAGTTATAACCCCACTTATGAGCCCCCAAGTAGGGCCCTTGGTGCAAAGTTGAAGCCTACAATGAGCCACGGGTGCAAAGCCCCATGAAAGGCGAGGTACTGTATTTCCAAGTCAGCTGGAATGCTCAGCCGATTCTTGGCTTTATGAAGAGCGCACTCTAGAAGTCTGGCACTAGGCAGGGGTGCAACCATAGAATGCCATGCAGATCCAGATGGCAGGGCACCGACAGTGCCAACGAACCGGCGATTGCAGTTGGGTGAGTGAGGGGCGGAGCGGAGAACCGAGTCTAATCCCGAATGCATACTAGGAAGACTGATCAACAGCTCCAATCCTGCTCGTAGTCTCGCAGGTACTCGACCATTGCGACGGCGGTCTGCAGCCGCGAAGTTTTTGGGAGGGGATGGCACTTCAAGTTATCTTTGAGGCGAACAGGAGTACCTCAAGCAAAACCCTAATCCCGAAAGCCCTACACCCTACACCCCTAAACCCAAACGCTTTACGGAAAGACTCTAAGAATCCCACTTTCAATGTACCAGTAGAGCTCTCCTTGCTAGCTGCCGTCTTTTCAATCAACCTTTAAGGCTTTCAGGAAGCTTGGAACCCAAGGGATTGTGGATGCAGAAGACAGTACGGTGGGTCCAGGGATGATACAAATACCCGAAAGTCTTACCGCCTCTCAAGATTGGTGATTCGGCAAGGCTTCAGCCGCAGACGCGTCTTGATGTGGCTCATAAACTTGGACTGCTACAAATCCTGATCCCGGACGACCCTAAAATCTCTAAACCCTACCGCCCCAAAACCCAGAACCAGGTCTCTAAGGGACGTCTTGCTTGTTTCGGTGGAGCTTTTTCGACAAGTCTCATCTCAGCTCAGAGCAAAAGTGAGGAACTTGTCCATAGCACAGGAATTCCTACAGGCTTACTACCAAGTATCCGTACAAGAGCCCTCACAACCCCTTGTTGCACTCCCACCTAAGCTGCAACATACCGTGAGCAACAACATTTCTGAGAGCCCCTTGTAGTACCACGCCTCAATCCCCTCAACTCCTAAACCCTGACTGAACCCCAATCGAGGAGGCTGAAGGCCCAAAGAGGGATCGAGCACCTGCTGGAGCTTGGCATTCATCTGATGCATCTCCTCCGCCGTCTCGACATCTAGCTCCACCTTCGATGACGCCTGTCGACACCCTAAACTCTAAGTCTTACATCGCCAGTTTCGAAACCTTGAAACCTAAATCCAGAACTAAACCCTAACCCTACATCCTAAACCCTGAATCCTAAATCTCCAATCGTTAACCCGAGTCCTAAACCGTACCTCCCTAAACTCTATGTAAGCTACAGCTATGAGCTGATACTTCTGTCCGGAACTGCAAAGGACCCCTTTGGCCTCTTCGATCTAGGACGCAATGCAAGCGTAAGGGCCTCAAGTAAACATGACCCCCGTAGAGTTGGAACAGTATGCGATGGCCCCAAAACCCTGCTGAATAATAACATGCTGTATGCCCCAAGCCCCACTCTGCAATTGAATGCCACTCTACGTTTGCCTTCTGCATTCTATTTGAAGCAATTAGGAAGGCACACGTTGTTCGCTTGTGCACATGCTCTTTGACGATGTTAAAGTCGTCCTCTGTTTCGCTCTTCGTCGACAGGAGTTCGTCCACACCACCCACAACATCCTAAACCCTGAACCACTCAACTCCATAAACCCTAAACCTCTAAAGCCATAAATATGGGCAGTCATTTCTCTAATCGGAGGGCTTGCGGACGAAATCCTAGGATGCAGGGGAAGCACGAAGCTGCAGCATCTGCGATTCAGAGAAGGCGCACACGCTGAATTTTCTGGGATTCTGGGTTAAAGGCATGTAGGGTATCTAACTGGTATCTAGAGTACGTCGGGTATGTAGGGTTTTATTAAGTATATATGGATTAGGGTATGTAGCTGGTTCCCCTCCCAAAGCAGGCCTCGGCATCGAGGAAGAGGAGGCAGTCGCAGATCCTTTGAAGACTGAAGTGCCGGAGGCTGGGAAAGTAGCGCGCTATGGCTCAAGTTGCTTCGACGGCTTCTGCCTTAGTAAGGCTCGGTTGAGGGTATAATTAGAAGTATAGACACTCTTATCAATATTGTTACTATCACTCCTAGTAATATTGTTATTAAGTACAGTGCCGAAGCTCCGACATCGTTTGCATGTACAAAGACTTGCAGCTTCAATGCAAGCCCGCGAAAGGCATTGCTCCTGCATCAGAGACCCAAATGGGTGGTTGTCAAAATCATGGTCCCTTTTTGGGTCCCTAGTATAGTACGGCACCTAATACTTAGGGTTCCCGAAAAAGGGACCATAATTTTGACAACCACCCAAATCGAGGCTTGGGAATACATAGTCCGCTTCGGCGTGAGGCTAATGTCGATGTTTTCTTGGGGGGCATGCCTTCCTGGGCACTCCAAAAGCTAAAGACTCAGAACAGTGTGTGCGCCCTAAAGTAAACTACAACTGGACTTTGAAGTAACCAGGGAGAAAAAAGTATAGACGTTCATTTCATAATGGTTCGTTTCAGGAAGAGGTACCAACAAAAAGTGTTCAAGTATGGTACTCCAAACCCAGGACAAGCTGTGTGGACCAACGATCAACGAATTGCTGTGAGTCTAAATTAACCCGGATAGCCGTTGACGTTGGGCATGCATTCTAACAGAGATTTAAACACAATTCCAAGGAAAGACCCTCAGTCCTACTGTTGATGACATAAATCCTGCATTACCTGAAAGGCCTCAAACTGTCGGCATTATGGTTTCGGCCTTATTGTGGGCAATGCAGGATTTATATCATCGACACCGTATTGAGAAGCCCAAGCAGCCTCTTCAAAGTCTCCGGCGGTCCACAGTGTGGCGACCTGCTTGCCACTTTGATGCTTGTTCACAACAAGAAACGGCTTGCAGGTGCCTGAATTCCTACAAAGTCTCAGGATCCTCAACCTAAACCCTAAACCTGAATCCCTAAACCCTAAACCCTAAACCCTCAACCCTAAACCCTAAACCTGAATCCCAACACCCTAACCTCCAAGGCCTCGGGTGTTCCTATTCGACTCACTCCTCTGGGTTTTTCGAACCTTTTCGGATCCATATACAAGAACCCTGAAACGAACCTGCTGCAGGAATCAAAAGCGGCCTACAAACCTACTTGTCGGGTATCATGGGGAACTAAAGGCTAACCTTTCTGGTTAGGGATTATATAGGCACTATACTACCCAAATCAGGCTAAAGGTTACCTACTCGACTACCAGGCCAAGGAATCCTCCTAGGCTGCCGAAGAGCAGGAACATGTAGCAGAAGGCGCCGCAAACCGCCTCCCATTCCTTGGGCGTAGGCTGCAGAGATCTCAAAAGACTGAAACCCGAAAACCTAAACCCTGAACCCTAAACCCCGAACCCTAAGTCTTAAACCCGCAACCTTGAACCCTAAACACTGAGCCCTAAACCTCTGACCCTGAACCCTGAACCCGAAAACTTTGAACCCTAAACCCTGAACCTTTAACCTGAAACTTGAGCCGGCCCAGACCGCCATCGGAAATGAAACCTCGACACCTTGCAGCCGGCTCTTGAACGGCTTCTACCCCTGGAAGAGGGGAGGCTGATATATACGGTACGTATGTATATGTATATGTATATGTATATAATAGCATATCTACATCTATATTCATACCTATATCTGTACCTGGATCTGTATATGCATATATATATACACATAAGACTGTGCATACGTGTGTACATATATATATATATATATATATATAAACACATGTATTTAGATATACACATGCTATATGCACACGCACCCTGCAAGGATGAATATTCACCTGCTGAGTTTCTGTGATCTGAAACCTACGGAGTTGCAGCACATGCTAGGCGACATTGGAATGGGTTCTGGGGACATTTTGTACTATGGCCCGCCCTGAAAAACAGAGGTAGTTATCCCAAAGCCCCCACCATATCAAGCTCGCATGCCACTCAGAGTCGTATTCGACGAGGTGGCGGTAGAACTCGCGCCTGATCAAACGTGAAAACCTGGAACCTTTACCACAAAACCCAAACACACCCCCATCCTTCACAGGTCATCGCGGCTGAAATTTTAAAAGGGGAAAAGGCTTTAGGGTGCCTGGGCTTTTAGGGCTTTCAAGTGTGCAAGGGTTTAGGGTGCTGAGGCTTTCTAGGAGTGCAGGAATTCTAATATTTGGGGCTTTAATGTTTGGGATTTCGGGTTTGGGTTTGGGCCCCGGAAAATGAACGGTGCACACCAGCCGCCTCTTCTTTATCGGGCACATCAAGATCCTTGGCTGCTCGGCAATGCGCTCAAGGGACATTCGGCGCCTAGATCTTTCTAATGCATCTTCAAGCATAGGAGGTTCAACGCCTCTAGGCCCTAAACCCTCGAATCGCATCTGTCATTACCTCAGAAATCAAGGCCTGCGATTACTGCTTGTTGAAAGTTTTTACTTGTCGAGAAGCATACCAAGGATCCTGTGTCCATGTTCGTAGGGAACGAACCGGGCTTTTTTAATAGCTTTTCATTTACATCATCATAAAATGTTTCCAAGCCCAAACCTCGAACAACGAAAATAGGGAGCCCGAGCCACAAAGAAACCACACGTTCTTTCCTATCCTTTACAACCGAACAAGCCCTACCCATCAAACTGGCCCAGGATCACCATGGCGTGAACGGCAGAGGACGTGTCGGTCGCTGACTCCTGGCAGCGTTCGTGTTTCTACCCCCAGAACCTTGAACCCCTACATCCTGGACATTCAATCCCCATATGAACCCTCAACCCTTGAAGCCGTATCTGAATTACCGGAACCCTAAACCCCGAACCCTAAACCCCTAAATCCTATACAATCGAATCTCTTCCACACTCTAAACCCTTGAAGCCGTGTCTGAATCCCCTTAACCCTAGACCCCGAAGCCCAAGCTCCTAAATCCTATACATTCAAGTCCCCATGAACTCTCAACCCTTGAAGCCGTTTCCGAATCCCCTAAACCCTGAACCCCTGAACAACTAAATCCTATACATTCTAACCCCTGTAAACCCCAAACCCTTGAAGTCATTTCTGAATACCCTAAACCCTAAACCCCAAACCCCTAAGCCCTTAACCCCTAAACCCCTAAATCCTAAACACTCAAACCCCCAATGTAGGAATCTGTTTAAGAAACCCTGAGTCTACAACCCCCAAATGGTAAGGCTTATATCAGGAACCCTGATAGAGGCCCAAGGTTTCTTAATCAGGTTCCTACAGTAACCTTCGCAGAACCTTGAAGGCGTCTCTGAGAGTCCCGCCCCCTTCCCGTGAGCTGAGGCCCCAGCACAAGCTTTGGGCGTCTCGGGAATCTCGCCATCTAAGAAGCGGCCCGGCCCCGGATCTCTCTCAATGGCCTGAAAACGTTGTCGTAGCGTTGTTGTGTTTTGATCGGGTTCTAGCGGGCTTTGACAAAGCTTCGTTGGCTGATGGCTGCAGGGTCTTACGTTTGTTTAACTGACCGTTGGGTTAAAACATCATTTTGTGTGGGTTTTGCGGTGTTTGGTTGGGCTTTCATAGGATTTTGGTGGTGTTTCTCGAACGGTTCTAGGGCCGATGCCTATACACTGCCTGCAACCCCTAAAACCTAAACCCTAAGCTATTTCAACGCTGGACGGCCTGATGCCTAAAACCCAAACCCTGAACTACCCTAGACTACCTTAATGCCTGATGCCTAGAACCTCAAACCCCGCGTTTTTCAGTACAGCTCCAAGCTTCGGGGGAGAAGCTTGCAATGCTGTAAGCCAACACAAGAGCTTCCGGTTCAGGGTTTAGAGCTTACGGTTCAAGGCTTTGGGTCTCGGGCTTGGGGTTAGGAGCTTGGCGAGCTTGAAAATATCCCGCTGCTGCAACAAAGCAGCAAGCTTAGGCCAGTCCTCGCCCTTGACAATGGTGGCTTATGGTGGCTTTGACCAAGGACTCTCTGAGCAACCAGTTGAGGTCCAGCTCAATGATGGGAGAATCTGCAACAGGAGGAGCCATTGCTGAAGCAGCTGGCGCCATTCCTCGAAGGAGATCACGGTGGAGGTCTTGTGGCGTAGCCACTACCACCTGTTGCTGGAGCGGGGCAGGCGGGGCGGATGCTGGGGTAGCGCCAAGTGATGAGCCTGGGGTGGCCGCACTGGAAATGATGCTGGTCGTTGTCGACAGCATTTGCGCCACGGGTCCATTTAGGGGCTGGGGCTTAGGGACAAAGTCTACCCCACGCCAGCCCACAGCCCTTCCTTGGCATCCGTCAGCATGATACCGGGTGCAACCCAAGAAGAGTCTGCCATACAAACCCGGCCGGAATACGCCCTCCCCTTCCTGGCAAGAGTCGCAGGGAAGGGTTTTAGGGCTTAGGGCTTGCGTAGAAAAGCCCAGAAGCGATAGCATCTTGTGACCAGGTTGTGTCGAGTGCATCATATTATGGCTTTGGCGATGAGCTGTCAAAGCCTGTCTAAAGAAGGGTTTCCCTTCTTTCTCTTCCACCCCACAGCGTACAAGGCAGCGAAACCACACAAGTGGCAGTACTTGTTCTGAGCAGTCTTGGTGCAAACACAGCAGTGCTATTTTTTCGTGCCATGCTCTCCATGCTGTCCGAGATTGCTCCACACCTAAAGAAGCTCGACCCTTGTTTATTCCGTGGCCGGGATGCTAGAAAGCCCTCGAAATCTTGCGTCTCACTTCTGCGTCTTTGTCGCCTTTTTATGCATGCGGCGTAGATTCTTGTACTCCGACTCGAGATCGCGATCGTTTTCCACCCAGGTGCGCCACTCCGTGGCATTCAGGTTGTCGAGCTTCTCTGCCGCCGTGGTAATCTTCGCCTGCAATTTCTCGAGGGATCGAAGTATAGGAATTCTTCGAGGTCTTCTGCATAGGCACGGAGACAGCCGCTCGCTTTTATCATGTCTTTGGCCAGTCGTTGAATGTCAAAATCCACGAAGCTCTTCATTTCATCCTTGCCTTGCAGCTCAAATTGGATGTCCAGCAGTTCCTGCGCTGTCGTCTGGAGGCTTTCGGTGTCGCCCTGCCACAGGTCCCACCCTTTCAGCTTCGCGACAACTTCCTCGAGCTTTGCTTTTTCTAGCTTGCTGAGGCCTTTCGTCTTCTCTGGGGCGGGCGTGAAGCTCACGCGGCGAGCTTTTCCTGCGGTGGCCTTGCCGCAAGCCTTGCCTGCCCGCGCTGCGCTCTTCTCCTTGCTGGCTGTGATTCTTGCCAGCATCATGGTTGTCATAAATGTCACAACGGCGCCGCCTCTGTCGGCATTTGCCAGCAGCTCCTGCGCTGGTCACAGTAAGCTTTAAGAGCACACATGCGCATGGTCACCTGTCAGAGGGCTAGCTCTGCAATGCACACCGTTCAGCCCTTCCTATATTCTTCCCTCCTGGTCGCTCAGTTACCCTCTGTGTCCTGCTTGGCTTTCGCGGCCGCTTCGGTGTTGAAGGGCACGTCGGTCAAACCGTTGGCCAGAGCCCCGGGTTGGGTCAGTGCTCCGAGCTCCAAGAGCCAATGCAGGCCTATGAAGGCGCTAATAAGCGCTGCCGGAGGTGCAATCGCACACCTTCCCCCAGGCGTCTTGGGCTTCGGAGGCTAGCCGCATGAGCCGGAGTACGGCTGTTCTGATATCTTCTTCCGACCTTTCTTGGTCAGGTTGATCCTGAACATTCAATATTTTGTTGATACTGTTGACATCGAACTTCTCCAGCACAACCAGCAACTCGCCCACAGGACCATCCGCATGGTAGAAATTCTGCTCCACGCCCTCCCGTAGGTTTACCGCCAAAGCGTACAAACTGCCCGCAGCCATGGAAATACCGAGTTGACCAACTCTGATCTATCGGCCTTGATAGTGGCCTTCGCGAAGGCTACGTACAAACTCTCGGGCGAGCGGATACCCAGCACTGCGGCGTTGGTGCTGCCGCTCTCCGACGAGACCACGGCGCTCAAGTTCCGAGTGAGGACCTTCCCTGCAGCCTCAAACATCTGTAAATAAACAGGCGCACGCACTTCTTACCTGAGGAGTGAGCGTTTGGGCAAACAACGATATTTTCGGGGGCCAGGACTTCAGGCCTGAAGGCCTTCAGGGCTTCAGGGCTTCAGGGCTTCAGGGTGGGATGTTTCCAAGTTTGGCACCCATCACGATTTCTCAAGAATCGGCGACTCTTATGGTGCAGAAATTCAACCAGAATGATGATAATAGAAGCGCATTGCATACTGCAGTCTTCCAGTTTGAGCTTCGAAGGCCCATTGGAAAGCTTAAATCCCGGAAGCTATAACAACAGAGATCTCGGGTCGGCTGCCCTTTGTTTTCATGGGCCACTGCAGCACGCTTCGCAGCTCTGCGCTCTGGAGGAGCGAACCTGGGCGGGCATTGGTGAAGGATTTGTGCATTGTGAGGTTCGGTTTGCATCTATGTTTATATAGAAAATCAAAGAAAGTAACTTGTCTCGATTTCGGTAAATGGATGGAGTTCTAAGGCTTCAATGCAGCAAAGCCACTCGATCATAGCATACTCACATCCATAATCTCAAATGTCTCTTTTCGTAATGCTGTCTGCATCATGAATACATAGCGCTGCATCGTTTTCACAGCCACAGCCTTTGTGCTGACTCTTCGGGAAATGCGTGCAGTCCTCCCCACGAAATCTTCTGACATGAACGTGGCCTCGCCGAGGAAGTTCACCGCGTAGCCCGTGGTCTTCCATTCTTCGTAGACCCGCAAAAAAATGTGGTTGAGATAGTGCACCTTAGGCCTAAGCTTGAATAGGCACAGTGATTCCTTGTAGCACATGGATACCAAAGTCGAGTAGCCTGTAAGGAATCGGTGGCCTGATTCCAACACGATCTCGGTGTCAGATGGCGTCATGTAGTACTGAGCCTCCAAGGCTGTTCTGATAGCCAGGTTGATTGCCCTTGCACAGTGCAAAATCTCAGTGAGGATGCTATCAGCTTCAACTTTGGACTGGAAATCAGGTCTTTCCAACAAATACTGGAGGAAATCCATGAATATTGCGGTATCCATACATTTGGACCAGCGCGACTCCGGATACTCTCGCGTCCCGGTGTATCCAAGCAAGTCTTCTGTCAGAGTCCCACAGTGGGGTTTGCTTTTGGAGGTTCGCAACCAGTTTTTCAGGGCTTCGTTCAGGGTGTTCAGGTCCTTCGCGACGGAGCCTCGTCCAAACAGAACCTTCATGCTGTAGATAAAAGCGCTAGCCGTGAAGTCGAGTCCAACTCCAGCATGAAACACGTGGAAGAAGTCTGGCCTGAAAAAAGCTGCTGGTGTCTGGTCCCTGTCCAATAGCATCCGCTGTATGAGCGGACCACCATTACCTAGCCAGGGCAGTGGGTTGTCCAGGTGGGTGGTTCCCAACCACAAGGGCTCTGTGAAGCCCAGGTGCTCAAACGGAAAGGAAATGCCCGTTGCGGGATCGTCAAAGCCAGCATTGCACAGCCAGCAGCATCCCTTCTGTGCATTCTTGGATTTGGGACCCTTACGAACATTATGAAAAGATCGGGTCGACTTGGCAACCTTCTTAACAAAAGGAGAATCCCCAGTGAACCCAATCACCAGAATGCGCCATTTGCAGCCTGCAGCCTGAAAGCCATGATCAAATAGTGACCGCAACTCTCGACCCCAACGGTCCATGAGGTCGTCGAAGACTTGGCCATCATGCTTAGCGACCAAGCTGCTCACAACAGAAAACAAGAACCTTGTGGCCCCTGAGTGCCCCAGCAGATTGATGCCAAGCTCGATTTCAGGCTCCAAAACACGTTTTGAACTCAGGTCCACAGGACTCTTCCGGGACCCAGTGCCAAGGGCTGGAAACATTGAGAAGATCTCGATCGGATCCTTTTTAAACCCTCGGCCTCCATCCCCATGCAAGTAATACGGGATCAGCTTCTGAAAATCAATATCCTCAGGCCCGGGTCTATGGAAGACTTCGTGTCGTGGGTGAAGGGCTCGAAACTTCGTCCAAAAAGAATCAAGAGCTTCGCTTGCCAAGTGCACGGGTACCCCCAAGACTCGATGAAAGAAACCTTCTTTATCCAACGTTTGGACCATAGCCTTCGGGCTGAAAAAGGGATACCTGTGCGTATTGCCAGCCTTTGTCCAGCTAAAGTCGATCGGGAAACCCAAATCAGCGTGCTTTTGCAGTATATCAAACAAGGGAGCATCGGCATCAGAAACTGGCAACTTTGCGATGCTGTGCAGCACCGGGCAAGGATCTCGCTTCGCTGCTGCCTGCGCATCGATGACCAGATCTTTCGCCGGGACCTTGGCCGAGCAAACTCTGCGTGTAAATTACACACACATAGTTCGACAAGCATAGATAGCCAGAATCACACACATTCAACAGTAAGAGTACATCTCCTGAACAGCATGGCTCAGCAGCAAGACTGTCATGCACTCGGGCACTAGCTTTGTTCATGCGCAGCATAAGCACGATCGGGATTTCCCAGCTTGGCTGTGTGAAGTCACACATGCAACAAGTAAAATTTGTTATCGCTGAGCTATTCTTTAATTAGCAGATCTCAACCTAGGATGGGCTCGCGCTGATCAGCACATGTGGCTGCACAGTATGCGTAGTACGGAGGCGGGAACCGAGGCACAAAGTCTTTCCTGCGCATACTCTCTCCACCGAGTTGTCGGTTTCGGCAGCAGCGCTCATTGTCGTAAAATTCCGCAATCAGTGAAGCTTCAAGCATCTCCATCATCCCGAGCAGCTCTGGCTGGCATACTTCGTGGAGCACAACGAAGCACTTGAAATTCTGTGCTAAATAGCTTCTCCTGCGCTGAAGTGGATCGGATGTTAGGCCAATCTTGAATACACAGAGTTTCTTGCCCCCAAGCTCCTCCCGCACAGCATTGATCACTCTGATACAATGCCATAAAATCTTCGAAGCAACTGCGGTCTCCGAAATCACTCGCCGATCCAGGTCCGAGCTTGCAGCTCCCAGATTTTCGATAGCAGGGGACTCAGTGGCCCGAGTGCTTGCAGAAGCCGCAGATGTGGGGCTAGCCATATCTATGTCTGACTGGCATCGTACCATTGACTCGTCTTCCGAATCGCTCCATGGGAAGATATCTAGTTTTGCAGCGGTCATCATGAGCAGTGGGCGGTTGCAGACCTATATGCATTTGTGCCGCATACAGCTGCACGAGGAGAGTTTTCGAGACACGTGCGTAGAAACTTTGACTTCGTGCACAGCTGCCAGCACATGAGGTTAGACGTGCACATCAAGTTCATGGGATTGGTCCTGTGCAGCTGGGCCCCAAGCACCTTTGCCATATTTCACTGCCATCAAGCAGACCTGCTCGCTGACATTCGGAGTGTCGTAGGCGCCTGACAAACAGTTGCTATCACGTAGGAGCATGCTAGCTCTGCATTGGGCAGTCTACAAACATTTTCGGAAGGAAAACAGTATTCAGGGAACTACATCCCGCGGAGTTGTATAGAAGGTACAAGTCAAGTTCGGGCTGCCATTTCTCGGATAGAATGTTTCATCGATTCCAAGGAGACCAACGAATCTTGTTGTATTTCGCGTGGGGATGTTTGGCTTCGGGGAAATGCTATCAACTTCACATCAGAGCTGTTGAAGCCCTTGGAATTCTGGGTACATGTATCGAGGCAGGGATGATTTGGGAATCTTGCGACCCTGTATATGTGACTACAGTACAATTCTGGGTCTTCAATCAATTGCCTAGTTAGTGTTTTGGAATTCGAGACCCCCACGGCAATCAGCAATATTTCAGACTTGCAAGCTGCATCGCTCACGGAGTGACGGAACAGGTGCCCTCGATCTACTTTCGATCGTACGAAGACGACCAGAGCACAATGGACCTTGCATCAAGGCATCTGCGCCTACATAGCTGCAGCAGCCAGGACTTTGTTTGTAGCAAGAACTTTCACGCATAGTATAGGCCCTATAGCAATCGGTTTGACTCTCCAACACACTGGCAGCTGAAAGCCTGAACACAAGCCTAATTTGCCCCCTCTATGTGAAACAGCTCCTGCTATGCATCCTGTGGGGGCGCTGGCGTCCACAGATGCAAATACATGCCAGCTGGTAGCACATCAAACCTTTGTAAAGATAACCCTCTAAGAACTATATGAAATCAACCCCGGTTACAAAGCCCAGACAGGTAATTGCACTCGATGGATGAAGATGAGGATCTATTGGTCTATTGCCCACATGAACATGAAATCATAGATATGATGTGTCCCTGGCATCCCTGGTACACAGCCCAAAGCTTCTCTGCAACTGTAGCATCGAAGCTCCAAAATCAAAACGAAATTGCGCAGCGTACACTCTGGCCGCCGAGATTGGAGCTCACTCTCCAGCAGCTGCTTCCTTCTTCGCGGCCTTGCGTGCCCTGGTGAGCAGCGACCTGAGCAGACTGAGCACGAATAGCTTGGTTCGAACTGTTTGTTCTGAGTGTTTTTTCGGGCTGAATTGAAGGTTAGAGTATATGGTTTCTGCCGCTGATGATGGTTGCACGGAAACCTCGCCGGGCCTCATTGCGCAAATTTCCTCGGCCTAATAACCTAGCTGAATCCTGGCCAGGCATTGCACAACCAGAGACTTGTAGAAAGTTGCAGCACCAATTTAGTTGCAGGAGGTAGTACTACGGTAGTACTGTGATGATGTCGCAACAACAAACCTATGGCTGGCTACTGCGGGCTTTCAGAGCTCAGCCCAACACCTTGCACCCCAAAGATCAGTACAGCAAATACATGTACCAGCCTTGCAATGAGTCTATCCGAAACTAGCTATTCAAGGCATTGACTATATAGATTGCTTTAGATTTGGCTACGATAAAACCTGCCCGACTCACCACCCGACCCCAATAAGCTGAACACCAAGTGCTCTTCCCGGTAGACTAGGCATTGACGTGAACAAACTTTGGATGGTTGGTCGAGTTGTATATTTAGGACGAAGTTAGACAGTGAAGCATATAGAAGTCAAGTAACATCATACATCAATTAACACCGTCCTGTGGATCCCGAGAGGGAAAGAGAGGGATGGAGGTACAGAGATGCACATATGAAGAGACACCCTGGAGGATATAGAGCAGAGTCTGTGTAGAGTCTATATTGCATATACGACTCATAGGAGAGAAAGAGAGAGAGAGAGAGAGAGAGAGAGAGAGAGAGAGAGAGAGAGAGAGAGAGAGAGAGAGAGAGAGAGAGAGAGAGAGAGAGAGAGAGAGCGAAAAACAAAGAGAGATAGAAGCTCCCTCACTCCGTGTCTCTCTCTCTCTCTCTCTCTCTCACTCTCGCTCGCTCTCTCTCCGTCTCTCCGTCTCTCTCTCTCTCTCTCTCTCTCTCTCTCTCTCTCTCTCTCTCTCTCGAGAACTCCCTCGCTCTCTCTTTTTCTCTCGCTCTCTCTCTCTGTCCCTCTCTCGCTCTCTCTCGCGTGCTTTCTTTCTCACCGATCCATGCAGCTACAACCCTGACGGTCAGGATAAAGTATGGCTAAGCAGAAAACACGCAACAGAAGCAAACACTTTCCAGATTCACTAGAGTTCCCTACAAGGGTGCAATCTTGCAGAGCAACAGAGACTCCTATAGCAGAGATGCAAGCTTCCTTTGAACCATATAAGCCCGAGTCAATATATGTACCTGGACCTAGAACTCAGGACCTATACAGCCCCATAACTGCATGCAGATCCAAGTACACATACTGTAGCCCAAGCTCGAACCAAAACCCTTATCACCCCAGCTTACCCTGGACACCTTAAGCCTTGTAAGCCATATAGTTGAAGGCAGCTCCTCAGGAGTGTCCACTGAGACTTCAGCTTGTTGGCAGCTTCCAGGGCGGTCGCTTTCGCCATCCTGGGGAGTGTGTGCTTAATTCTGCATTGATCGGATTGGCCCTAGCTTAAGCTCTCGATTTGGGATAAGATTGCATCCGCCAGCAACAATACATCGGCTGCAGGTCATGTTTCGAAAATAATATATGCATGCATGGAATGATAGCAGTCAGGACGGCTGGACTTCTGCCAAGCTTCAGCTTCTGAGCCTTGGCAAAGAAGCCCTGGCACTCGGTTTGCAGCCTCGGGCAAGTCTTAAGCTCAAGTAATTCTGCTACGGGATTTGGGAAGTTTTGCATTACCCGGTATAGACTGTATCGATGCTTTGCATATGCGGCAGGCACAAGAGGCACACACACACACACCTCTACATGGAAATACCCGCGCAACTGTCATGACCTGCAATCCGGTAGCTTCTCAGTGAAGCCCGCCGTGCGACCTTCCGCATGGGCCTCCGCCATTTCTTCGTACAGGCCTTCAAACTCTTTGACCATCTGGTCCATCTTGTCAAGTTTTTTCCCAGTCCTCGTTGAGGTTTCGCGGTCTCTAGGGCAACAACATGAAGCACATGATTCAGGCTTGTACACTCATTGCATGGACATGACAGGATCAGGCTAGCCACTCTTTGTTCTTAGCATCCCCAGCCACTGCGGTACGAATCTTGTCCACACAGCCCTCCAGGGAGCTCTTGGCCTTGAGCACGTGCTTCATGTACTCTTTCATCTGGGAAGCAGCCTTAGATGGAAATCAGAAAGAACATGTAGCTGTAATGCAATTAGGTTTCAGCAAGCCAGTTTAGCATCCTAGCAGTGCTGTGAACATGCGGTCCCGGGGGCACTCTTATGCTGATCGCCTTCTTTGGCATGATCCCCGGCATGGACCATCGGGTCATCATCTTCGAAGCTGAAACCATCAGTAACAACCCCCGGCTTGAAGTTCAACTCCTCCCCTCCCTCACCGGTGTAGCTCTGCTGCCTTTCGAGCATTTCCATGTCCTCCTTGGTGAGGGTGCCGCTCGTCCTGATATTCACCCAGTACTCCAGGGTCTCATCGTCATACTCACAGGTCCTTAGTTTGTCTGATAGATCGGTCAGGCAGCGGGAGGGGAGCAGTGGGCATTTTAGCAACTAGGGTCCAAGGTGGCCCCAGGAACAACCAAACCCACGAGATAGCTAACAAACCCAATGTATCTACCATGCAGACTAGACAATGGATACTCACCCTAGTAACTATATAACTAATATTGCCTTATCGGGGTAGCTGAAACCGTAGCTAGGATGATCAAGTTTCACAGGCCTCTGGCCGATGTCGCTAGAGGGTTAGGGATAACCTAGCAAGGCCCTTTTCGTTGGCGGGATAGACCCGAACTGGATTGGGGTCTCTTAATTGTAGGATTCGGAAAGATATATTGTAGTCCGAAGAATAGATGCAGGGCTGCGTACATTGCTCAGGAACATGCAACCATCAGTACTTCAATCACCAGCAGCGGAAGCACTACAAAGCACACCAACAGAGACACACAGTGCAGACATGGTCTCCGAACGAGCCCCTTCTTCTCAGCCCAGGCAACGACCTTCTCGATCCGGGACCTTGGATTCGGGAGGCCAATTCTGGGAATTGATGGAAAGCTGCGACACTTGAATTGTTTTGTCTCTGTAAATGCATGCTGCCAGGTTTCGCGCTATACCCCAATTCAGTTTTCATATCATCTTTGGAATAAAATCCTCCTTTGACCTCGAGCTTTTTCTTTCTCGTGGTTCGAGTGAGGATGGTCACGGATTCCATGAAGACAGCCTCGGGAACCCAAGCATAACAATAGTGTCAGCGAGAATTCGATCTGTCCTTAAGTGTTTGGGCCCTTCCTGCCTTCACCCCACCAGCTTTTGCCCACATACGGAACAAGTTGTCCCGCCCCTTTCCCGCATCCTTCCACATCTCGAAGATGTTCTCCGGCACCTCCAAGTTGCCGCTCCCCCTCTTCGGCGTGCAGCATCGCCGAACTTTCTCTTTCTCCAACTTTGTCATGTCGGAGAAATTCATTACCTTGGGTATCTCCATTTCCTCGTCTTCCGGCTCACTCGGTGCCTTTTCGGATGCTGTGGCCTTGGAGGCCTTCACTGGCGTGCTGGGGAAGGGTCGCTTGGATCCTCGGGCACTAGGGCTCTTGAGCACCTCCGCACTTGGCTGACTTGTCGGGGGAGCTTGCTGCTGCTCCTCGGCAGGCGGCCGCTGCTGCACTGGTGGCGGCGACTTCTGGGCCGGCGGTGCCGGCTGCTGCACCGGAGGTGGCGGCTGGCATTCCTGCAGCTGGGTTTTTTTTAATCTGATCATATATATCATTGCACAGATCCATAGACAGTCAGTGCTTGTTTAAGACAAAGCATGAGTCAGCATGCATGCTCGGCTGCTCAATATACTGGACCCATATACTACTGTCGGTCCTGGGACTCATTCTTGGAACGTAACCTCACAATCTGATCTTGCTGGGCATGCACAGTTGCCCGAAGTAGCTCCAGCTTGTACAACAGCTCCTGGATTTGGATTCATGAAGGGATTCGGGATCCGATTCACTTGATAAGAACAATAGGGTAGGTGGGAACTTGTTAGGGGTCGGTCCTTCGAATCTTCTGCCCTCACAGGGGTTGTTGGGGTCAGCATTGTAGAACCCGGGATCCCTGTTGTAGGCGAGGGCGAGCGCGTAGTAGCCGGGGTCGGTGTTGTAGACGGAGGATGAGAGGTCGAGGTTGTGGTAGTTCCTGGTTCCTTTTTCACCTTATCTGATCGAGAGCACAGGTTTCAGGATTGAGTTCATCCAGGTTACGGATGCCTATACCTCCACAGCATAGACCGATCTGGGGTTCATTTGCATAAGTCTGCAGGACTCATATACAAGTTTAACACATGATCCTATATAGGAATCGAGATACCAGCGTGGAACAGGGCGATATTTGGTTGGCCAACACCAACATGCATATGTATATATATATATACGGTGAAGTATATGTATTGTATATGCAGTGTACTGCACGAATACACACACCAACAAGCAGCAGCAAAGGGAGCCTAGCTAGTGTTTGAATTTTCACACCCACAACCGGAGCCTTGGCAAGGCCCTGCATCGACTTTACCTGCGATTCCGTTCCTGGCTCCGTTTTGACCTCCGCTTCGGCGATGGCGAGAGCACCCTGGACTTCCTGCTACACACACATGCACACATGACATGCATGCATGTATGCGGTATGTGTGTCACACACGTAAGATTGCTTATATCAACTAAACCAAAGAGGACATAGTACATGTATCATGCACACATCATCTACATGCACTAACATGCATGAAAGTTGCATGCATACTTTAACCTGCCCCGACCTCATAGTCGCCATCGGTGTCTTGAGTGGTCTGGGGCCACACATGACATGTATAAAAATCTCTACTATGCAGCCCATGCATATACATTCCCGACAGTCCTATATATGCGATATAGTGCAACTGTACAGCAATATAGGTATATGGTCATGTCATACGCATGCATTGACATGTGCATGCATGCAGTGCTGTCGTACGACTATCATATATAGTCGAGTCATGCAGTACGATTTAAAACGTGCGCGTGAGGAGTCCTCCGGGCTTTGGCTTTTGCAGGTTTCAGCTACATAGGGGTTGTTGGGGTCGTGGATAAACAAGCCCGCCTTTGACAGGCCGAGGACCAGCACAAACTCGATTTCATCGGTATGAATGATGCACACATGAATGCATGTCAAGTTCGATATGCATAGGCCGATCATGCATGCATGCATGCACATTACATGACATACTAGGTCGAATGATTCCAGGTGTGGTTAATCCACTCGAAAGCATGCACCACCTCACCCGAACACCAAGCCCCACGACTCTAATCCCAATCAGAAACCAAGTATAAAAAGGAACATTCTTCTATAGTGTGAGGACCAGGGACTTAAAACAATCATGCATGCTTTATATGCACTCGACATACAATGGACTAGACTCCTGGGCCAGGGTCTGTAGCTCTTGGAGACCACCGTTGGAAGCACTTCGGAGTAGGAAGGATAGACCGGAGGCCAGCGTATTTGCAGAGTGGGTCCCCCTATTCAAAGCCATGGCACCTAGGATCTACCCTGAATCTACGCTGCGGCGCGTTCTTGTCGCTCAAAATGAGCGCCAAAAGGGCCCAAAAGTAGAAACAGGCGTTGCGTGCCGATTCGTGCCTGAGGCTTGCCTTTACGTGCTCCTTGCGTTGCGATTTGTGGGTGTTTGGTTTTTGCGATTCTGCGTGCTTTTTGCTTTTCCGCGTGAAATGGTTCACAGTGCGCACTTTCTGAGCCTGAAGTTGCTTGTGGCGGACCAAGTCCATGTATTTCAGGCTTACTTTGGTGGTGACAACAGCAATCGAGAGTCTCAATTGCACTTTCTTCCGAGTTGCAGGGTTGTGCAGACTCTCTGCGGGCTTCAGGGTTGGGGGCTGCTGGGCTATATGCAGATTCCAGGCCACTGGGGCTTGCGGGTTTCAGGACTACCTAGAGGGCCTGGAACCTTTAAGAAAGGAGGTTCTTCAGAATAACCGGGTTCTTTTATGGAGAACGCAGTTCTTGGATTTGAGGGGTTTTTGGGAAGCCCAAATCATGATGCTTGCACTGCTGTGCCGCGATCTTTTTTCCGATCGAACTCTCCATTGGTCCATCGAGCTTGACTTTCCCCAGCCAGGCCCGGACCCTAGTTGCAAGGCAAAGCACAGTTCAGCGATTTGTAAGGGTCAAGGGCCATAAGATTAGACCATTGTTCAGGTTGGCCTCGCAATCAGGTAGCCAGCATCTATGTAGCGCTTGTACGAGGCTTCCAGGAGCCTAGTGATGCACTGCTCAGAAACTTTAGCAGGGTGCACTCTGCGGCTCAAACGGGACGGCCGACCTATGTAGTCTTCACACATCTGTGCCGAGTAAGCTACTGGGTTTACACAGGGTTTCCCGGCAAGCCCTGGAATGTACAGCTCATTCAAACACAGGTGATGAATCACATGGGCCTTGGGTGGTAGGCCGAACAAGGACAAACCCTGAGACCATGAAGTGGAAGCCAGCTTGGAATATCGACGGAGGAAGCGGAGTCCTTCATTGCCAGCTTCGAGGGCTTCTTCAGGGCTGAGGAAAAGATCACTCTCGAACAAGCTTCGCAAAAAATTGTTGGCTGAGACAACAGCTTCAGCAGATAATGCCAAGATGGGGTCTCCAAGCATGATCAGGTTTGCAGCCTGGCTTTCCAAATACTCGCATATAGTTGTCGTCACAGCACCTTTGTGCCAGCTGCCACAGGGGTAATCCTTTCGGGTATTCCAGGCAAGCTTGTCCTTGTTCAGGGAAGATATGTACGGGGTTTTCTTGTTGTTGCGACACCACAGCATGAAGGCATCCGAAATCGAAGCCATGCGCTCATCCACACCCCGCCCGGGCTGAAAATCTGACCATCTCGCCAGAATCGACGCAACCAAATTCTTCCCCAGACCCAGATGAAAGCTGTGCCAGAGGTCGTACATGAAGAAGGCGGCATCCTTCCCGCTCTCGTGTGGGACCCTCAGGAATGAAGGCATCTGGACGAAAGGGGAGTCCAGGTGCATAGTAGCAAGCCATGTCGGTGTTCTGGAATTCAGCTGTTCGAAATCATAGTTGTTTTGGCCAGCCTTGCACCAGTGACATATTCCGGTTGGGGCCTTTCCTTCTGTCCCGACCCCTCTACCCACATGCATAAAAGAACGGCTCAGCTGACCGGCCTTCACAAGCCACGGCCAGTCACCGATGACATTGATAAGCATCATGTAGAACCGCTGACCGGAGTACTTGTGTACGACTCCCGTTGTGCACATGTGCACAGCCTCTTCTGCAGCATGATCTAAAGCGGCTCGGAACACGGGCTCCTTGGTGTAGGCCTTCTTGGGTAGGGCAGAATGCAGATATCTGTTCGTATATGTGTGACCCAGGAAGTTAGGTCGGAGTTTCAGATATTGTTTCTTGATGCCCAAGCGTTTTTGCTTTGCACGAGCTGGAGCAAGGCCTCGACCCAATAAAGGGACAAACGAACACACCAAGAAGCCTGCTTTCCTTCGTCCACGACCTTCGTCGCCGTGGAACATGATCGGGCACGTGTGTGCCAATGAAATCTCTCCTGCAGCAGCCATCTTGTAGATATCGTGCGAGGGATGTGTTGCCCTGAAAGTTTCCCAGAAATTCAGAAAGATAGCGGCCTGGCGATCGGGGTCAGGCCTCAGCAGCCCTGCTGTAATATGAAAGCAGTTCTTCTGCACCAAAAAGTTGGCCCATTCCCTTAAAGAAATAACTGGATACTTATCGTCATCCGGTCCCACATAGGTTCTCGCAATGGGCAAAGATAGCTTCATCTGCTTGCCCACAACCCTGTGCACATCTCTCTCTCTTTCACGGCAAGCTGCCAAACGAACTAGGCCACCACTGGATGATGCAGCTTCTGCGCCCACGTCATTGACCACATTGCGAGCTGTTCGAACGGCAGCAGCACATGTGGCCTCGGCGAGTTAAAACGACCACATAGGCAGTACTGACTTCGCTAAGGTCAGGAAAGTTTAACATGTGTTTCTGCCCTTTCGGGTTTGTGATGATTGTATATAGACATGTATGGTTAGAATATTCCAACCGAATTGGGGCTAAAACATTAAGACCCTAGGATAGTTGGGGCTTCACACGTAACATAATGGTTTCTACTGGATTTGGGCCTTCACTCCTGCTTCGATAGTTCAAGAGGAAAGCTTCAGTGTACTCAGGCCACTAGATTGAATAAGTTTGGTTGGGCAGGCTGCGGCTTTCGCAATATCTGTTGCAAATAGAATTATTGGATACCTCGTGGCTTTGGGGTGTTCTGATGGCCTGCAGGATACAATGCAGCAGCTCGTCCTTCAAGCTCCAACTGTCTTCCCGAGCCCCAGGCGCCCTCTCCAATTTCAGCAGCAAGACCACGAAGAGCTCTGCCAGGCGGGGGACCTGGCGTGTATTAGAAACTGAGGCTGAGGACTGAAGACC